TCGTACGTTTAATAAAAATTTTAGATTCATTAAGTTATGTATAAGTATCGTATTTAAATTCTTTTCAGAAGTAAATACGAAGTCTTGAAAATTAATAAGAGAAAACCTTTTCTTTTCGAATAATTCAACTTGAAAGGTTGAAAAACCCTCAAGAAATTTAGTACGTTATTATTTTCGCTTTTTATTCGTCGACAACATTTAAAGTCTAACACAAGCAAAACAACTGCAAAGACTGATTTTAAATTGAAAATAAATAAATCACTTAAAGGTGCAAATCCTTGACACTTTTCTTCAGCTTGAACATTTTTTGCTTTTGTTGGAAATAACAAATATGTTCAATATTCTATTCCGTTTCACTATTTTTAAAGTAATACTCCTGAAAAATTTCAATGTCGCATTTTTATTATAATATAAAAGCCATTTATTACGCTATCAAGATCAATAGCCGTACAAAATTTTCTCCGTAGTATAGAAAACATTCCATTCTATTGTAAATGATCGATTTTAATATTAGCAGTATCATTTTGGTTGAAGCTGATGGAATAATATATAGGATAACTTTAACAGTTGTGTCTGATAATAGAGGTTAGAAAAAAACAAAAAAACTTAATAGTCTTTCAGCATGTCTATTGTTTCCATGACATAAAAAGTGCAAGTTAATTTTACTGTTTGCTAATTTGTCAAACATTTTGTTCCACCTAAAGTAAACTTGATAGTTTCTGACGAAAAAAAGAATACAAAAATTTGCATCTTTAAAATTTCTGTACAACTATTAAAATTACCTTGTACCTGCAGCTATTAATTTAAATTTAATTAAATTTCGCAAAAGTATTATTTCAATGAAAGCCTAATATTTTTTGCAATTAGCAAAACTAACTGACAAATCAAAGCGTCGTGATTCGATTTATGATCCATTGGGGTAGGGTGTCAGATGAAATTGCTCGACCCTTTCTCATAAATCCTTCGATCTCTCAAACTAAATTTTCAGAATTGTTTATTTAACGATTACGCATGCGCGCCTTCAAATGCATATTGCCATAAATTATGACTAAATTCCCCAGGGAAAATATCGCATTAATTTTAAAAGTAGATATAAACCGAGAAAAATTCTCTCGGTTAAAGTCTTTTGAAGTTTGACTTACATATCACTGTTCTTTTAATCATTTTTTAGAAGTAAATCCTAATGAAAAAAATTATTATTACCGATTCTCTTTTGACACTTTTTATCTCATTTTCATAAAATGCAGAGCGCGATTGCTCAAAACAAATTTATTGAAAATATTTTCTCATGGTTTTACGCCTCATGTGATTCAGCACAACATCGTGAAAACATTGAAATGAAACAAATTAAGAGTATTGATGGATGCCGGAAGGTTTATGATTCGATTTTTTCGAGCTAATAAAAGCGTAAAATAAGCTGCCAGCGTTTCTTATAAAATGATTGTGAATTCGAAAACTGGTCATCCGTAGATCATTACATGAAATTTCACAGAGATAACGTTTGATTTAAGATTAAACTTCCTCTTAGTATAATTTAATACAAATCCGGTTTCCATAGAACTAATCACTGAATTAAAATAATCAAAGCCGTTTAAAGTAATAGGGAATTTAAATTGATAATAGTGGTAAAGGTTCGGATGAATATTTTAGGAAACGTTCAATCCACTTAAGTGGACTTAACTCCTCAAACAACCCTTCAATTTCCGTCCGGTTTATAACACAAAAATAATGTACCTGACAGTGAAAATATTATTAATTACTTGGCTGTCATTAGCAATTGGTAATGTGTCAAATTAAATTGCATTCAAATAACGTAAATATCATTTTATTGAATATAACAACTCGTTCAATGGTTGAAACGTTTAAAAGACAATTTTAAATAAGTGTTCCAGTTAAAGCCGTGCTGGTAATACGCGACACGTTTTAATGAAGTTTTTCTCGCGATTTCAGTAATGCATCTACCAGTTAATTCCTACTTTTGCTCACTACAATTAGTTACAATTAAAATAATCAAACCTTCACACATTTACATCAATAAATCTGGAAGCCACGGAATAATTAATCACTATTAGAGTAAGTAGAGTAAACAAACAGCTGCTGCACGTTTCAAAATGTGACTTTTGCTAAGATGGCAAAGACTTTAACCTTTATTGCTTTCTACCGAAATCTGATAAAATGTCGTCCAGACTCAAGTTATGGTTCACAATCCTCTTACCAGGCCGTAAAGAGTATATTACACACTTAAAAATTTCAAAATATAAAACGGACAAATATTTATTCATAGAGCATATAAACAAAATCCCCAGAAACACTGATTGCACATATCTACACTTAACAAGGAAAATTGTTTTATTCACGATAAAATCCCGACTAGCGGGAAACCAGATCACTTAGAGGATTCTGAAGCACTCACTCACACTTTTACGTTTTTTAGACATTGTTTTATTCATTTGCTAAAGCAAAAAACTGATACCAAACTAAAAATTGTTTTATACACATCTTCCATACTTTAGTCAGGTCAACAGAATGTATGATCGGAAACGGAATTGAGATTTAGAGACTATAATGTAAAGTAAGCTAAAAAATGTTTTTTTTAAGAATGCGATGTTTGATATCTAGAAAACAATTTAAATTTAATTTAAAGTATATAAGATTGCCTAGTATGAAATTTTATAACCTTCAATTTTGTAAATTTAGTATATAATAATTTTTATGAAACATGCCTAGCCTTAGTGCCTAGCTCACCTTGGAGAACCGGGGACTTTTACTCTGTCCAAATACAGTCCTAAAGTCAAAAATTTTGTTGCCAAATATATTTTACATAATCATAATCTGGACTATTAAAATAAAAGAATGTGACACATTGTCACCTGTGTTTCTTGTTTTAGTTTTCAATTTTTAAGAATAAAAGAAACAGAAGAAAGGGAGCTAAATCGAGGCATATCAGTAACTTTTGTTTTAAAAATACATTATCTCAAATTTTGTTTTACTGCAAATGCTTTATTATTTTAATTTTTTTTCCGGCATTTAAGGAACTAATAATGTTAAATGTTACATCGCATAGCAAAGTAGTGGCATTTGATTCTCATTTTTTAAATATTTTACATGTTATATTTCAACTGATCAACATTATACAATGCAAAAATGGATGTAAGATAAAATCTAATGTGGAATTGAAATATGGGTTTATAGGTTTTGATAATTACGTTAATGTAGGTAATGTTTGTTTTTTATATGTATTGTATTTTGTCTAAGTTAATCATATTTGAAAAATGTTTGTATTCTACTTGCGATGTATCGGATGAAAGCGAAAGTGACAATTACATTCAAGGCTCAATGGAAAGTCATCATGTGAAGTTTCATGTTACCAAAAATCGATCAACCTTTTTTTATATTGCACACACTATTTTTATCAATTATTTCTGAATATTCATCTTCTTCATCGTCTTTAACTATGATTCAATAGAAGGTTTTTCATTATTTTACAGGTTTTCATCGAAACGTTCATGTCAAAACTTAAATACATACATACTACAATAAAAAGTGTTTTTTGAGACAATTAACATTAAAATATTTTACAATGTTTCTATACAGGCTGCGTCAGAACTCGCGCCCTAGAGAAAAATGCCATGTAAGGTAAGATACCAGGAACATGGAAAAAAATGTTAAAAAAATTCTATCCATAAAAATTTCGAAGTTATGAGGGTTTAAATTTTCCACTTTGACTCTATTTATTTATTTTTGGAAAAATAGTTTTTCAAGTTTTTTGCGACAGGCTGTTAGAAGAGGAAGTAAGGAAGCTGTATCCTAAATTCTAACTCTGTTTAATGTTATTTGTGGCTTCTATTCCTAAACTTTTATACCTTTATTACATAATTATAAAAAAAAACTATACAAGATCATCAGTATTATTAAATAGACATAAAAAATGTCAAATCTCAGAAAATAAATGTCAAAATTTTTAGAATTTTTTTTAAACATTTTTTTCATATTCCTGGTATCTTATCTTATGAAATTTTTCTCTGGGGCGCGAGTTCTGACACACCTTGTATATTTTGTGGTGTAATGATGGAATTCCGTTGCAGACTTTGATTTAGAATTTCGAAGTTTTTAGGAAGAGAAATCAATTTGATCATCACGGCCCGAAAGAAAAAATAAATTGGATAAAACCCTAAAGGTACTAACGACCAAATATTTTACTAAACATGTGTGTTTTGCTCGCTATTAGCTAATCACGTCAGTTTTCAAGTCCATTAGAGACGCTAGTACAATACTTTTGTGTGTAGAGTGCAATTTTTTCGAAATCCGCTGGGTTTCTTTGCAAGCATTGAATTTAAAGTTTTGTTGAGTCACATTATTTTGTCGGTTCGCTTTGATTATAAAGAACGTATTAGGTTTTGAACTTTTAGAAAACCGTCTCGTAAACGTAAAGATGTGCAGTAAATTTGCCTCAAGATCAAGGCCAGCAATTAAGCCTTGAAAGTAGCTTAATTTCGCTATGAATTTATCGGTGTTCACGAGAAAGATCTGATATTAATGTTTGTTGATGAATTGCACCGTAAATTGGAGTAAGGTGTACAAATGAATGTCTTGCTCCGGAATAGATTATGGTCCTTTTAACGAAGTTTCCCAAACACGCCGTCATTAGAATCACGCGCGGGCTTCTGCATCTAGTTAGTCGATTATTTCGTATTATTAGCTGATGAAAGTAATAATGCATTTTGAGGCGGTAAAGCCGACTCAGGATCGGCTCAGGAATCGGTGTTTCAGACGTCCACGTGGAGTTGAGCGCTGCATCGAGCGCAGCTTGGGCCGGGCGGCGGCGGTTCGGCCGGGCGGCGGCGCAGGTCCGAAGGACCACCAGCTAAGACACATTCGCGTACACATGTCGTCACGCCGCGGTCACGCACACCACACGTTGCTTTACGCGCGCATCGCTCCAGGTGAGTGTGTACGTGATGTCTGTTGTAGGTCAGTGACCGCACTTTGAATTGCAACTTGCCGGTAACAACAATATCGCGAAATTCCTACTTACAAACTCCAACTTAAAACAAAGTTTCAAAAGAAATAACTTTCAGCGGAGATACATTTTCGCGGTCCAATCATTGGCGTTCCTTCCAACTATCTTACGGTTTCAAGAAATTTTGTGTCCACATCTTGAAACACTCCTAAACCAATTGACAGTTTTTTCTAAAAAAAACTTTCAAATCTCCTGATTCAGAAATTAGATGATCGCTGGTGTACTACTACTACTAACGTTGGCGTAAGAGTAAAAGTGTGTTTTGGTATTGTTATTTTAAATTAGTGATTGAAGAGAAGGATCTGGGGTATTCCCACGCAAATAATTTGTTTTTGTATAGGTGCAACAGGTCTGTTGTATGTGCAGAGCGCAGCATGCTGTAAGGGGAAAGGGACGCCATGGTGGATAGACATCGTCACAGTATTAACCAGATAGAAGAACCAAGGCCTAGGCCAAGGTATTGGTCGATTTTAATAAAAACCTTCGTGTTTTAAGTGGTTATTTGCTTAGATGGGGAAGTTTGGCAAATGAACGCGCGTTGCTGGATCTACTCGATGGCGATCAGCAAAATTTACAACCAGCTTCACTCACGTTGGCCCCTATCAACAATTCGAACATTTACGCCCGAAGGCATTCGGCACACACTTGTCCTATCACGGAGGAGAGACATGCACCGGTTGCTAGCGTAAGTAATATATTTCTTGTAGCAATTCTTCACGTGGAATAACTTTATCTAAAAATAAACACTTTCAAAACAGGATTCGCTTTCATCACATAATTCCTTAGATTTAATCGTTGATACGCGTTTATAATTCAGTTCTGTTTAAATAATCTGAGAGAAAATCGAGAGACTACACGGCAATCAAATTTTAAACAATCCCCGGCACGCCAATCGGAATTTTAAATTAATTGTGAGGACTGATTATAGCAATCGCACTAAAATTTGTTTTATTTAACTGAAAGGTAAGTATAATGTCATTTTGTTAGATATATGAGATTGATTCATTGTTTAATGGAAATTCTTATGTTTAACTGCGGCGAAATATGGGCTAAAAATATCTGCCGGTGGAGCAATCAATCATAACAAAATATGAAATTAATGACTTTAATACGCTTATTTGCATAGCATTTTTATGGACCACATAATCACTTCGCCCTTTTAAGATCCTCATTGAGTTCAGCTCGACTCATCTTTCTGTTTTCATGCTTTCATTGCGGATAAAAATTAAAATATTTGATTTATTACTACTCTTATGAAAGCGTTGTCGGTGAAAAAAAACCAAAAGAAAAACCCACCACACAAAATCGAAAATCATTTTTGCCGGGACATCAAATCAATTCAAACGAATATTTCATAAGTACTACTTAAAATGTTTTTCTCAAAGAATAATTGAGCATAAACCACACAACCTGACAGTTTACATTAGAATAACTCTTAAAGGCATCGTTTATAATTGCACATTTTATTTTATGTGCTTTGCACGACTTATAGAAACTTTCTTTAGTTGCACTTTAACATTTTCTCAAGCACTTTATTGATGTATTTACATTTTTATTCGACCATTAAAACCAGCACGTAACCAGACAAAAGAAGCACCTTTCTGGTTTTTGTTCTTTTATTTTGCTATACAACTCCTTCATGTTATGTTATCTTTTCACTCGATCATTAAAAATAAATACAAGGACATAGAACCAACGGATAATAAAATAAAGTACAGTCATCCTTACTTTGTTTTCAGTCAAATTAAATCGGAATTAAGATGGAAAATTGGAAAGGAAAATTTTTGCAAATCTAATGATGAACCTCTTTGTTTTAAAAAAAATAGAGTGGCTTATTGTTCAAATTCTTTTCGAACCCTATTTTACTTTTTCTCAAAGAAAGAATTTTGTAAACTATTTAGTATCTAAATTTAGTACTAAAATACTTTAATTAATAACACAAATTACGTTTTATTAAATTTTCTTTGTTTAGAAAATTGAGCGTTGTTTGTGATGAAAACGTTTTCAGGTATTTACTTTTTACGCTTTTATTTTTAGAATCTTTTTAATGCACAAAGCTATTCTGAAATTTTAATCTGACAGAAATAGCAATTAAATAAATTTAACTTTATAACCAAAAAATTTAATTGTGTGCATATTTAAAAAATATTTATCTTCTCAACGTCGAAATCAGCGGGAATAAAACTACGATTTATTTAGATAAAACGTCAGTATATTTTTAGAGATCCAAAGTTCAGGAAAATTTAAGTTAAATTTGAATCGTCAAGACTGAAAGTTTTGGTATCGAGAGCTTTTTCTTTCAGATACCACCGCCAGTTCCATTGCGACCACCTGCTGTCCCCAAAAGAACGCATGTTCCCGCACCGGTGAACTCGTCCGAAAGTGCAAAGATGAACGTTCGGCTTCAACCACAACCACCCCCAGTAATCCCCCCTTTGCCGAAATCTCGAGCCTTGCCCCCCATCCCCCCTGTAGATAACAAACCGAGACCGCCCGTTAGAAACCAAATTTCAACCGACTCCAGTAATATAAATATCTTATCACGAACGTACGACTTAAATAGGAACGCGTCACCGAAACAGTCAGATATATCTGCTTGCACATTACTACTAGTAAGGCCTTGTCAGCACACTTTTTAAAGATCCTACCCTGTTTTTAAAGCATATTTAAAAAGCCTTCGGCTCATGGGTCTGTTCAGCACACAGGGATTCTGTCCTTTTGTTTTGTTTCATGTATTATTTCTATGGTGTTCTGTTAAAAGTGTATTTTTCAATCAGTTTTTCAAAACTATAAGAAACCAGTTTACTTAATAAAGTTTTCAGTTGTTCCAAAATACCTAGAATGGGACAATGAATATCGAAAGTACTAAAATCAAATGGAGCAGCTTTAATTAACACATTTGAAAATTCATCATATTCGTATGAATTCGCTTTGTTATCCTTCTTTTAAAAACAAAACTAGGAAAGTCTTTGAAATAATATTTATTTTCATCTATAATTACAACTGGTCCAGAATATATATGTGAGAGATTTGTTTTACAAATGGTAAATTAATATTAATTTTGGATCTCTGTATCGTTTGTCAGTTATATTCATTATCTAAACCAATTTTTGTGGAATATATTACAAATGGTGATTTAAAGCTACTAATAAACTTACTGATAAATAACATAAGTCTGGTAAATTGGGTTTTAAAGACCCCTCATGAGACTTGAATTTTATTGTTTTGTAATAATTTGTGTTTATTTGTTGATATTTTAATAGTTGTTGTTGGTATTAATTCATATTTGATATTAATATTGAATGGCTCATAATTTATTAATTAATTAATTTATCAATATCACCTTTTTAATGGGGGTACATACATAATTGAATTATGTGCAGAATGTTTAATATCTAATAAAAATAAAACTCTTAATCAAATCCGATATTATTTGACCACATCAGCTACTGTTTAATATCTAATGTATGCCCAATTTTGTGTAATAATACTGTATAAAAATTAGTTTGCCCATCAGAAATATTGTTTGGTTCACCATAAAACCAATTTTCTGATTTATCAAAATGAATCCCTCGACATTCTCATTATTTGGAAAGAAACCACATGCTGAAACATTACCTTTTCCATCAAAACTGCTAGAACATACTCCTTTGCTTTGCTCCTCTCTAAGTCAGAAATGAAAATGGGATTACAAAAAGTCCTAAACGATACACGGCCGATACCAAACAACAGATTCGGTTGATTTTAAACCTCGGCTTCGCCACGGTTTACAAAACTCATCTCATCTGTTATTTGGTACATATCGGTCTTATGACGTTAATATACATCCTGCTGTAAGCTACAAAACAATCTATTATCTGAGTCTTATGAAGTGCTTATTAGTTTGCGCAATAATCTACGACTAACGTTTTTTTTTGTCTGTGGCTTTGTGTATTTGTGTTTTCTTTTGCGGAACGGTAAAGAAAGAAAGAAAGAAAGAAATCTTGGTACGTAGTATAAAATAATAGTATTTTATAAAATACTATATAGATTTAAAAACATGACTACGTTTGAAAGTGTTAATGTTCAACAAGGTGAACGCATTCCGTTTTTTAGCTAATATAGCAGTCAGTCAAGGAATGGGTATTTCTATTGTCCCCATCGACCCAAATTATGTAATGAGACAATATTCTATACGAGGATGTAAAAACCTACAACGATTTCGTAATAATTAATTTAATAGAAGACCTGACCCTTTGATTATTTTTAATTCGGCCGATGAAAAATGAGTTTTCTTCCTGGAACTTAGAAACTTTTTGTACTATAGGTACAGTTTGGAAAATCGTATTAGTATATCGATGGAAAGGATGCGCAGAAACCAAAACTGGTCACGGACGAATCCATTCGTAAATATAGGGGGTTTTGAAATCAACTGAGAGCAGTGGTGTGTATTCACACTTATTTATTAGAACAAAACAAATAATAATCTACGTACAGTAATATTTTTTTTTTGATTTTGTTAACTTATTAATAAACAATATTAAAGTCCATTATCAAACCACAAGTTTTTCATCAGTACTTCACCGAGAAAAGTATTATTCGATCACATATAATTCACTCAAAACTTAACTTTGAAAAATGAGAAACTAGAGCTTGTTTGAAGTAGATAATGGAGAAACATTCTTTAATATAATTTTTATTACAAGAGTCGCTAAAAATTTGCAACACTATAATCCCCTTTTTACTGTAGAATAGTTTTTTGTTACGCCACTGTCCAAGTTCCTCCACTACACAGAGTACGCATTATATCCTTTTAGAAATTCGAGAGCTCTAAGAAAATACCCATCTACCTAAATATCTAAAACATTGTTTTGTAGTAATCCAGAAGAGAATCCTGGACAATTTAACCAGGAACAGCAACAAGTTCAGGAAGAAAATAGCGACTCTGGAAGAGACTCTGCATTCTCATCAAATTTAAATGAAAAAATATAAGTATAATAAAAAAAAATAATATAAATCTTAAAATACAATTTTGTTTGATCAAATTTTCATTTTGGATTGGGTTTCATTTGTTTATGACAGAAGATCAGAGAAGCTTCAATGAATTTTATTTCGCAATAATTCATAATAATTACAGTAAACGGTGGTTGAAAGAGTTGATTATTAAATTTGCTAATCAAAGGTTTCAATTAAAGTTTACTTAAATATAAAAAAAAAACATTAATAATGGTAGTAAGTACATCAGTGTCTTATATTCATTAGTTTTTATCAGAGACGTTGAGTCCATAAAGATTTAAAGTGAACCAATTTAAATCTTTGATCTGAGTAACCAATTATAACGTTAACATAAATTTTCGAATAACAGACTGCAATGTTTTGAAAATTCTGACAGTTTAGCTTTATTAATATTCTTTTGAAACAGGCCAAAATACTTTGAAACAATTGCTTTTTTAATATTTTATTTTAAAAACGGGAGAGTCCTTGAAATTTTAACTGTTTTTCCAAAGGTGAATTTTCTCAAAAATAGAGCAGAATCCTAAAATTTGGACTTTTTTTTAAAAAAGGTACGTAAAAAGGGCAAAATCCTTGAAATATTTGTTTTTAAAATATATCATGTCTTCTACCTTAAAATGTTTCTGTCCTGTTGGACAGAATCCTTAAAAACGTGTTATGTGCTGAACAAGCTCATGTGCCGAAGGCTTTCTAACATGCTTTAAAAACAGGGTGGGATTCTTAAAAAAGTGTTTTGAGTTTGACGGGGCCTTACTAGTAGTCACATTTGAATTTAATTCTGTGACTCAGGACTTCACAAAGATTCCCCCAGCGCCCGTAGGGCCGCCACCACCGGCACCGAAAACTTGTCATAAGCCCACCATTTCTCCGGCAAATAAAGTTCCCGGAAATCAGCAATGTAACGGAGGGCGAGTTTCAGTACGGCAAGACTCGGGCATATCGAGTGATAGTTTTAGTCAAACATCTTCCCCGAGTTACACCACAAAAACAATGGAAACTCCTCTCTTGCCTCCAAAGACCCCCGTCAGACAACAGAACGGAATCTTAGCAAAAGTCCAGAATGTCGAAGACGATGCTAATGGCAACACGACCATTACTAAAAGTGCATCCACGCCTGCGAGTTTGCAGACCATCGTGCGCTTTCATAATGGTTCGAATATGTCGCTTCACCATAGGGTAACGGGAATTCTATCGATTTCGCCCCTCTGACTTCTTATTTTTAGATAATTAGAGATATGAGACGTCCCTCGAGCCACTATGCTCGACGTTTAAAATTAAGGTTTAGATTTGCTCAAATTATTATTAATGCAATTGCCTTGTTTGCCATTGGCGCAGGGATGGCGGCGTACTTTAAAGGTGACTTCTTGAAACCACCCCCAAAAATCTAACCCTTTTATTTCAGCTTATCCATCATCAGTGCAAGTAGTAAATAAAACAGTCAATACAACAATAACTCCAGTTGTAGAGAAAATCAGTATGAATCCAGCACCCGGAATCTGTCTCCCCGTGATTGTAAATTTTTGTCTCCAACATAAAGTACCTTACAATTACACTGTTTTTCCCAACTACATGGGCCAATTTGGCCAAAGAGACGCTCAACAAGAGTTGGAACTGTACGATGCTGTTGTAGATGTGCGTTGCTACGAACTTTCAGCATTATTTCTTTGCTCCCTTTTCGTACCTAAATGTGGCCCCCATGGCGAAGTAGTCCGGCCCTGTCGTAATCTTTGTTTTGGTATAATTCTATCAGTTGCATTTAAGCAGAATTAATTACACAATTTCAGAGACAAAAAGAAGGTGCGGCTTTTTTCTCGATGTGTTCGGACTCACCCTCCCGGAATACCTCGACTGTGGTTTGTTTCCGGAAAAGCCTGATCGCGGTCACTGCATCGGTTATCATGAAGTCAAGCAAGCCAAATTGCGTGCCCAAAGACCAGGTAATTTTACTTTGAATTTGGAATTATCAGGTTTAATGAAGTCAACGCAAGCTCGAAACTATTAAAGTAAAGGAGTAAAACAACCGGAAGCTGTTTACACTATAAACCGCGATGTTGAGCTTTAATAACATTGTACTAGCTGTGCGTAAGCTCCACTAACATCATCAGATAAACCCAATAGAATAATAACATTTTGCTTATCGCTTACCGCGAAAATATCCTATCAATATACCACATGTATCTTCGTGTTCTACGCAAAATGCTCCATTGAAACAGATTTCCCATCAACTTATCTCTAATGTCAACAGTTTCGAATGACTAATGGCCTCGGCAAATTTCAACGATTTCCAAATAAAATGATTATAGGCCGTCTGTTTCCCTAAACAGAAATCAATAAAAACCTCAAAACCAATTTCCAACCCAAATAAAAATTACTTGAAACAACATTTATTCAACAAATTTGGCTCTCCATATTTAAGCAATTAGCATTCGTAATTGCATCCCTCAAAATAAGAAAGTTGCCTTTAATTCAGTTTGTTTTCTCAAATTACACAATTCGATTAATTACCATTTTCCTCAAGTCTGTCCAAATGGCTTCCAATGTGACGTACGACGTTGCATTCCGAAAGATTGGCAATGTGACGGTCACATGGATTGTAAAGACAAATCCGATGAATTGAATTGTAAAAAATGTGGCCCGGGAATGATCCACTGCGGGGGTGATAAATGCATCACGCAAGAACACATGTGTGATGGAAAAGTAGATTGTCCATGGGGCCAGGATGAAAGGAATTGTTGTAAGTAACGAGGAGATAAACTCAGAAGAGATCAAAATTATGCGACTTTTAGTGAGATTAAGTGAGCGAAATGGAGATGAAGGGAAAGGGCAGTTGGAGGTGTATAGGCCTGATCAAGAAGAATGGGTGCCAGCATGTGTGGCACACTGGGATCAGAAAACGTCGCCAAAATCGATCTGCTCACTTCTTGGATATTCGTAAGTTTTCAATCATGCACGCACTATTTGTAATTAGCAAAGCTATTTTAATTAAAATACTTAATCAATAGCATTGCCGAAAAATTTATTTGCGTCCATTGGAAATTAAAATAATGAGTGATTTGAACGTTAGACCAAGTTGGAAACCCGAATTTTTACACATTGAGGAAAACATAATGTTTATGTTAAAACATACTAGATGTTTTTTTGAAACTTTTTTATAAAATAATTGGACTAACAAAGAATTTGAATTTCCACATATTCTAATTTTAGAAGACTTTCAAATCACACTATTTACGCTAAAATGTAGTAGAGGATTCCTATACAAATGCGTTTTTTATCGATTTGCTTGCTCTCTTGTTGTTCTTCAAACCACGTGTAACAAAACAAAAATAATACGTTACAAAGATTTAAAAAAGAAATTAAATAAATATTTTGGTCTTTTCACGGCTTGATAGTTAAGAGAAAATTCGATTAATTCAACAATCAATTTTGTGTGGCGAACCAATAAAAAAGATTTAGTAATTGCACATTTTCTTATTTTTCTAAAAATCACATGTCAGAGTATCTCTCTCAATCGAAACCCGTAATATCCTTAGTTATACAATGCGGTAATGAAATTGAAAAAAATATCATCTTGTTTACTTCATTTTTATAGATAATTTTATTTCATAAAAATAAATAAATGGAAAAATGTTGCGCATTTTCCGAGACAATTAAGAGGCGTCCAATTGGTAGATTTACCGAGAATTGAGCTAACAACCTTTGTTGGAGATTTCTCCAAATAAGAAATATGTTTCGAAAGAAAAACGAGCCCGAACAATTAAAGAAGTAGACGAGCGTTGAGTGTTTCTCTGTTTCTTGCAAAAGTTTAAAGAGTGTTTTTGGGAATTATAGGAATTCCAATGGAAGTCGTTTATTGAGAGGTACCGACATAAACATTTCTCCACCAATTCAGGAGACAACGGCTATCTGGCGAATGAACCAGAACAAACGGCCGAAGAACATGATCCGAGAATTTGGTTCGTGCAACGGCACGACCTACCCAACTGTAGCTTTGAATTGTACAAATTATAGTAAGTGTGTTTTCGGTTTGTTAAATTGTTTACTACATCGAGTTGTAGTGTGTGGAAAAGCTCGGAAAAGTTACGCAGAACGACTCACTTTGAGAATAGTCGGGGGTGTTCCATCAAAACCGGGCGACTGGCCATTTCTTGCAGCTTTGCTTGGAGGTCCTGAAGAAATATTTTATTGTGCGGGCGTTTTAATCGCCGATCAGTGGGTGCTTACAGCATCTCACTGTGTCGGGAAGTAAGATAATGTGATTTGTGCCAAGACGGGTTTAATATTTTTCTTATTCTGCAGCCATTCGGATGTTTCCGGTTGGACCATTCAGCTGGGCATTACCAGGCGGCATGCTCATGCTTTTTACGGCCAAAAAATGAAAGTTAAAAATGTTGTTCCACATCCATTGTATAATCTTGGCGTGGCACACGACAATGATGTCGCTTTATTTCAAGTAAGTTTTGTTACAAATTTTCGTCAAAATCAATTTTCTTGTATAATATTACTATTAATTCCGGACGTTTCTTTCGATTCAATTTTCTCCCGAATCAAATTGAGTAAAAGTCTTCGGGTGCAATTTGCTTTGTCAGAGATAATAAAACGTGTCAGAAACGTTTTGATAAACAGCCGTCACTGTCCCGGACATTAACTCGCGACAACTTAAATAAAATTCGATATTTGTCCGGAAATATTTCCACACAGACCGGGCAAAATTGAGGCATAAATTCGAATTAACTAAATTATAATTCTTAAATACAAATTACACAAAAGAGAAATTAATTTTTATAACAACGCTTCAGTCTTCATTACAAATCGTAATTTATTACCCGTGTTAAAGTTAAGCCTTGTCAATTTTCGGACAATTCCAAATTTACTAAACGGATTATACTTTATCTTAGCCAAATATTTATATTTCTAGCTCTCGTCCAGAGTCGATTTTCACGAACATTTATTGCCAGTTTGTCTTCCACCTGCCAATAAGCAACTTCACCCGGGAACAATTTGTACAGTGATAGGATGGGGCAAAAAAGAGGACACCGGAAGTAAGTACCTACTATAATGTTTGTAGAATGTACATATCATAGACTCGAGCGCTTGCTCAACATATAGATAAATTTAATCGAATTTGTTCGTACAATTCACGCGTGAATAAACACTTTACCCGGCGCCTACACCAAATTTGTATCTACTTCAATACGACAAATTCAAATTAAATCATGCTTTCTCATGAAAAAAAATTTAAAATACATTTCGAAGACAAGTAAATAATTTCATTAAATTTTGTGTGTGTTTATTTCAGTTTCAAATTTGCACCTTTATGTCGCGCGACAAAAATGACAGATTAAATATTTACTGCGAAAATACGAAATGTTTTGATTCACAAAGTTGATTAGTTAATGAATTTTCCATACATGATCAAACATCAATGCTCATACACGTTTCAAACATATTAAAATAGCTAGCTGATGAAAGTCTAATTAATGCTAAATCACAACCTGTATTTTTATTTTGTCAGTTTATTAATTTACTCGTAATTCAACCTTTGCTTTAAAGCAAAGTTGTTATGTCTGAAAAACTGTTATAGTTTGTTTTGTTTTATATAAAAATTAGCATTACTAGTCCGGCGCCTCCACCAAATTTCAACTTTTTCATGTGGCCATAATTTCTAAATAAAGCCAACTTGTTTTTACTACATATTTAAAATGTATTATACAGGATGTTTTAGAACTCCAGATAAAACGCCAACTAAGATAACATACAAGGAGCATGGAAAAAATGTTACAACAATTCTATTTGATCCTATTTATTTCTGCTGAAAAAATAATTTTACATGTTCTTTTGCTTGTTATTTGTGGCTGTTATTGGCAAAGTTTTTGTACTTTTACTGAAAAGACATATACAAGGTCATCAGTAAGATTAAATAAACGTAAAAAAGGTCAAATGTTAAAAAATAAATGTCAAATTTTTTTCCATGTTTCTGGTATCTTGGCTTTTTTCTCCGGGGCGCAAGTTCTGAAACATCCTGTATGTAAGGCCTGCTACTTTTTATTGTTGAGGAAGTATGGCGAGTATTTCGTTTCAGAATTTTATTCGAATATGACACGATTTTGTGGCGTATCAGATTATTACTTTGCGAATTTTGTTTAGTTTTGTTTTGAAATATTTTTCATGCCGGTTAGCGCTGTACGCAAGTTAATGTTGTACAAACATTAAGCACACTAGAAAATAATTAATCGTGAGTAGTTTTGTTTGTTGGAAGACAAGGTTTCCTTTCGATTTTTGCTCTTGTTACAAAAAAAAATAGAGAGAAAAATGAGTCGACGTCACGAACGATAATAAAATGAAGTGTCGTAAAGATAGAAGTTGAGCCGGATTTAATTGTGGGATTATGACTGGGAATATAGGAATTAATAACAATCTCGCTGATAAATGGACCTCTAGTGTTGTAGTGTTTTATAACTGGTGTAAATGTTTAGTTTGAAGCGATTGGGCAATTTGTTGGAATAGGGGACAGGTTAGAAAAAGTGTTGTTAGACTTGTTGTTTATTTGTAGTGTCAGAATACGAACCCGAAGTAAATGAAGTGGAGGTGCCCGTTTTGAATCGAGACTTGTGTAACGCTTGGCTGGAAAATCGAGAACTGAACGTTACAGAGGGTATGATCTGTGCCGGGTATAAGGAAGGAGGAAAAGATGCCTGTCAGGTGAATGATTAAATAAATTTCCATGATACGTGCAGACAAAACTAAATTCAAAACCTAATCGAATTTTAATTTATTATTAATCAAAATTCAATTTCAACTGTTTTGAGTCATTATGTTATAATTCGAATTCACTCCATTCAGTGATGCTAATATGCACATTCATTATTAACAATCAAATTTCTATTAACCATATACCGTCTAATTAATTTTAACTGAAGCTAGGGGTCAACTCAACTCAAGTGAGGAAAATCATTCGAACACGCTTCCACAAAACTGGCTTACCCGAATTATGCAAATATTTACACAAATCTATCATTTCATCCGTCAAGATATTATTAACAAAACCAAAATTTAACAAATATTTATTACATTACAGTTTTAGTTCCAGGAAAGTATTTTATTCTACTCTCAGAGTGGCTTGTGGTTTGACGTGCGGCTTGTTATAAATTTAAATACATATTTAATTATTTAAATATTTGCATTCACACTCTCCTCTTTTAAATTGTATCGTGAAATAAATGTTTAGAAATATGCCGTGAAAATTCTAAAATGTACATTTTTTTCTTTGATTTGTAACGATTTAATATTAACTAATAATTTTTATATTTAGTCATGAAGCGTCTATAATTTGAGCAATTTTTGGCACAGTTTTGTGTTAATCTAAAAAAAAAATAATTGTATTGTGTGTTTAACAAGGGAAGTGTGTTGATGTATATTTGATTTATTGTTGTCTGCAAGTATCAAGTTTAAATTTGGGCGTTAATGTCGATAAGAATAAGTTAATGGTGCATGAATCTTAGGGAGATTCCGGAGGTCCTTTACTATGTCGCGACAACAACGATCCAGACCGATGGTTTGTAGGTGGAATCGTCAGTTGGGGTATCAAATGTGCTCATCCGCACCTCCCCGGAGTTTATGCTTACGTTCCCAAATATATTCCTTGGATTTTACAGCAGATGAAGCATTACTCTGATTAGGTAGTAGATAAGACAATAATCTCAATTAAGCTGACAATAATGTAACAAGAATGAATGGTACAAATTATACACGGTAACTATGGTTTTCTAAGACATTTACATGAACAGAATGCTTACAAAGTTACTTAGTAAAACGCATTTATTATATTGTGGTATAGCAGTTCTCCCCTGCCACAATCCAGCCACGCACAATATCTAGAATGATCCTATAGTGATATTTCGTGACAATTCACCTAGTGTTCGAGCGGACCGCTACTACATGTGATCTGTTTATACAGCTGTGTCATATACAACTTTGAGCGGTATTAATAAATATACTGAACTAAACCATGCCGTAACAAGCCATCGCTTTCAAGCAACCCATACGTATGTTACCGAAAAGACACGATTCTAGTTAAAACCTGATTATTTTATTTTCGTTAGACAATTCTAGTTTTGACCATGTGAAACGTATTTAATGGGAAATGAAATGCTTGGAATTACGGTTAGTTGCTAATAACTTAAAATTCGTGGAGCGACTATTATTAATGTTACCTTTTTTTGCGTTTTAGTAAAACTACTCACATGTAGGAAAAAATATAAAAGATTAATGTTTACTGAAAACTAGAGCCAACTGAGAATTTTGAGTGTTAACTAGTTAAATTTAGAATTGACACAAGAGTTTATCCCCAAAAGAAAGAGTTTTAATTGAAACTGGGCTTTTGCGGTAACATATGCATATACAGTGGTGGAATGTTGGATATTTTGATAATTAAATAGCTCGAAAAGTTTCGAAACTCCTCGGAATGAAATTTTTGCGTGAAAATAAACACATAACTTAACACAACTTGCTAAGTTTGTCAAAAACAATCAGATTGAATATTGCATGAAATCAGTGTGTTTGTCAGAAGTCTTGAAATCGAAAGAAACGATCAAGTTTTATTGTGATGGTTGAATGTATAATATATGCCCTTATTGTGAATGTATAAATGTATACGTAATGTATTTACACCGAAATATGCGTCTTCTTTTTGCTCGTGAAAAGGAATTTTTGAGATCATTGCTATAACCCTTTAACGAGCATGAAAAGTTCAGTATATTTCGTAAGATCGCCGTCTGTGCAGAAGTCTTCGAAGGCCCTATTAGTTAAAAGCCTTGCGCCCTGGTGCTGACGTACCCTTGACAATAATTACTTCGGAGCCTTCTGCAATGCTTTAAATATATTTTATACCCTTAGAAAGAGAAGATATCATAGTTTTCTATAGATTTATAACGATGTTATCTAGTGTCTACTGTGCGCAGGTCATGAATTTTACAGCTCGCGGCAAGGACCACGCTCAACCAGGTCGAAATATATTTGGCATCAAAATTTACAAAAACAGTTACGCGTTAAATTTACTTCTACATGCGATTTAATCAACAATCCCTGTCATCCCCTGAAAGTTAATTACTTCGGTTTGAGACGATTTTCTTGGAAGAATGTCAGAGTCTGGATCTGGGGAATAAATTTTCTCCTACCTCAATACCTTATTATTAGCTTGTCCTCGCCGTCGGCGATTGTCAAATTCCACAGTCCCTGCGTTTAACTAAAATTGCGACGTGTGGGCAATCACTAATGAAATACGTTGTACATGTTTCTAAATTGTGTTTTTCATAGAGAAATAATATAAAAGTCATTAGTCACTCAAGACAATTAGAACTATAAATTGTTACACCTCAATATTGATTGCAGGAACTACAAAAAAATTACAGTGATATTAGATCTTAAGATTACCATAAATTCAATTTAAATAGATTTAAACTGACAACTAAGCCAATTAAAACTTCTGCAGTCAATATTTACGGTGATTTTTACGTGATTAATGACACAAAAAATAATAGGCTCACATGAAATTTTACATAGTGCTACATATCTTGGAGAATCATAAAAATTAAGTGATATTACATATCCTGACAATATTTTAGACAATAAATATATATTTATACATCATGTGGGTGCTTTCATGTGAGCTTTGAAATATGCATAATTGTTTGGGAAAAAATACTATTTTGATAGAACCGTTCTTATGTTTTATGAAAATGTTTAAATTAGGCGAAATTGTTCACTTATGTGTTCCTTGGCTTTTGCTGCTACATCTAGTGGATGCAATGGGACAATAACTGGTCTAGTTATGTGTGATGTCCGGTCAGCATGCTATGTGCTTCCAGTTACCGCTCCTGTATTATTGAAACCTGTGTTGAAAAAATGTAGTCAATATATACTAAAACACACTCTGTTTATTTCAGTCCTTTCCCCTAAAATACGATATAACAATAGAGAAATTTTATCTAATCGTGTAACAGTAAAGTTTGAAGTTGTCTCGTTGAGAGTAACTTCGTAAGACGCACCAGGTAAGTGTTTAACTATATTTATTTAAGCCTTATTTGTTAATTGTTAAATAGAATAATTTATAAACGAAGAAACGGAAGCTGTAAATCGTGCTCATAAAAATGCTTTCAGATTATGCTGACAGCTAAAAATAATCTAACTAATTTGAACGCCTGAATTAATAACAAACACCGCTAGCAGTGAACTTCAAAGCGAGTCCATTCATTTGCAAACTTTCATTGAGCATTTTCAAGTGCAAACCTTCCAAATGGTAATCTCATCTCACATCACATGATGATTTAAAAGAAGACAAATTAGAAACAATTCTAATGTGCTAAAATTAATTACGCTGTTATCTTGGCATATTGCAGCTGTTGCATAACTAGCGTATTTGTCACTAAATTTTATTAGCAAGTAATTAAAACATCAGACAATCAACATTATTCCAAGAAGCATTTGCGCTAATCTTTATAAATAACCTTGAATTAATTTAGTCAACTTAATTACTGTAATTAAGCAGTTCCATCGAAGTGACAACAAGTAAATTAAAAGCGAAAGATTGCCAAAATTAATTATAAATGTATAGGTAAGTACCTACATTTGAGGGATATACAGGTGTTCCGTTTTTATTGTTACAAATTTAAACAGGTGATAGAAAATTCAATTCTAAGACAAAAGATTCCTATGAACATGTATCAAAAAGTGTTACGTAAGCGAATTACACCTCCTGAAAGAGATGCGTTTTTTAATGGGGTTTTCCCACTATTGCAGATTAGATAAAATTACAAAAGTTGGTACAGCTGATGACTTTTAAACACCTGAACGAATTCAAAGATCAGTTGTCGAAATGTTTAATTACGGGCGTCTTAAACGGTGAAACAAATTTAATTTTTTGTTTTTACCCTCTTAATTGTCTGTAAGACAAATTGTAAACTCAAAAACTGTAAGTTGAAACGGTAAGTTGAAAAACGGTAAGTTGAATAGAAAAAAACGTAAGAAACTATGGAATTTAGAATTTTGTGACTGAAACTAGCAAGAACCAACAGCCAAAATAGTTAGGGTACTTTTACCCTAAAAAATATTCTATCACCTGTTTGAATTTGTAACAATAAAAACGGAACAGCCCTGTATAAGTAAATAAGAAAAATTTCGAATTCATTTGTTCATATAGAAAACTAAAATGAGGAAATTTGAAAATAAATACATATAATTTTGTATTACAGAAAATTGTAGCGAAATTGACAGTTACAACAAAACAACTACAGATGGTGCAAAACTCGGGAAATTCACATTTGAGAGAGATTTGGGAATGACGCAATTTAGCCTGCATGATGTATTTATTTAAAATCTACGTGGGTAAAATTTGTTTGCCATAAATTAAAAAAAAAATTACTATAAGAAAACAGTTATGGACGTGAAAAAAATCTAAGTGGGTAAAATTTGTTTGCCATAAATTTAAAAAAATTAACTACTATAAGAAAACGTGAAAAATCTTGATCAAAGTAAAAGAAAATAAATTTAGCATACTTGCGTCATAGAAAAAGATTGCTTTTGAAAATACGAAAAATTTCCTTTACTTTATGGGAAAACGTTTATGTATTTTATATTACTTACATATTTTATCAAAATGCAACGATTTGGTCGAATTACCTCTACGAAGAAATCTTTCACAAGTATACTAGAAGATCTATTAAAAATACAAATATTTAAATAATTATTCATATTTATTTCGAAATTCGAGTTGATTGTGGGTACAACATTCTAATGTAAGAAAAGCGTTTTTATACCAATATTACCAATGCTATAAAAAGTAATTTAGTTTCGAACGATTGTGAAATTTTATAATTCTATTATTATTCTATTACGAAAAAGAAGACACCCTTGCTAAGGGCACGATAATAGAAGGAGTTCCAGTGGCGAACCGATTTGGAAGAGATGTCAAAAAATCTGTAAAAAATGCAATATGGAAACAACGCCAGATCCAGACCAAAACCAACTTAACGGGAATCAAGCAGGATGCAAGAAACTCGCTCTGTCTGTCTGAAGACAGATTCTTCCAGGTCTCAATTAATCGCATACGTCTGGGTCACACATGGCTAACCCAAAAAATGGCCAAAACTCAAAAACCGTTTCGTAAAAATTGTAACACCCTAATAGATGTGGACCATCTGCCCCAAGTACGAAGAATGGAGACCGGCAGCCTTCCGTTCCACCTCCCTGGGCGACTTAGTAACGTTACCTGCCCTAATGAACGATCTTCTACTGTTTTTGAAGAATTTCAAATATTTTACTTTTGTAATATTCACTTATGGACTTATCGCTAATAACCATGTCGTTGATGCGGTTTTTGTTTAAATAAAAAATAATAATAATATTAACCGTATAGAAGATAAAAATATTTCTGTGTTGGAAATTTTGGCTTTTTTGCTTCAAATCTTGGATTAATTTTTTTTGAAATGGGAATGGAATGGAATGTAACATTTTCGAAACAACCAAATTAAACATTCGAATTTTGTAGACAATTATTTTTGATTGTGTCAACTTCAAAAGATTCACAAATTTTTATATTTTGTATTTTGTAAACTATGGCAAAACTGTACCTCAAAGATAATGTTTTTGTCCATACATATCTAAAATGTTCCAAGAAATCGACTGGCGTTGAGAAACCTGCAAAATTTTTGTTCGTTTAAAAGTTGTAATTAAATATTAATATTTTGGATATTTTTGATTTTTTCAGCATTTTTTCGGTAACTATTTCACGTAGGACCTTCTTTTATATGATAAAAAATTAAAATTGCTTTCCAACGTTATCAAACAAAAAGGATTAGCGTCAATAATTCCGAAGTTATTAGCAATAAACTACTCCGGGTACCGTAAATCGCCCAAAATTGCGACAAAAATCGAAAAAATCAAAAACTTTAAAATTGCACTCTTGGCGGTTGAAGAGATTCAGAAAAGAACAAAAACGTTGTAAAAATGCAAAAAAATGAATCTTTGAAAAATTTTGTGTAGGGTCTGTATGAATACATTGAAACAAACATGGAGACTGTTAGTAGCGTGGTGGTGTAGCGGCATAAGGTCCCGTTTTCCGGCAGGTAAGTCCGAGATTTAGACCACGCTGAAGTCAGCAATTTTTCACTAATTTAAATTCAAATTAGCAATAAAAGATGGCGGGCGCATGAGAGCGCAAACTTTAAAACATGATTCTGCACATGTTTTAATAAGTATAATTATAAGAGAGAGGGCATAAGAGCAAATAGGAACGCCTATTGCATCTGTGAAAATTGCGTTATGAATTTGTGTATAATTGGTTGCATATACAACAGCTTTTAAAATAAAACTAAATTCCAAACTAAATTAAATACTTTATTAATGTCTATCATGAAACTATGTTATTTTACAACACTGACTAGAGTTTTTAAGTTGAACATTCAGTTATTAGTAATATTTTTATATGAAATAGAAATCAATTTAAATATTGCAGTGTCCCATATTTTGGCGCCAATAACCTACGTGTGAATCCACTGGGCTGTTCTTTGCTTTCCCTCATATCCAAGAAGCCTTACAGTGAGTCCTGCGACGAGGTACCACGCAAAGAGGAGGAAAACTGAGTTTATTTATAATTATTTGAAATAATAAAGGATAAGAAAATTTAAGATTAGATTATCACAACTTCTATTTCCACAATTTTCCATAAATCTCAAAAAAAATAACTACTACCAAAAAAGCAGTCAAAGATGTGAATGTGGTAAATAACCTTGATCAGAGTAAAAAAATTAAATTTAGCACTTGCGTCAAAGGAAGCAGATCCTATAGAAAAATACGAAAAAATTCCTTTACCGCGAAATAATGTGTACATAGTAAAAACTTAATGTATTTTATGTTATCTTATCAGTTGTAGGTAGGACTCCTGCAAGGGGGAATCTGTCATTACAAGTTGTAATAGATAGAGTTTTAAAATGTCCATACATAGATATCCTAACTAGAGATAATGTTGAGCAAGAAAATCGTTGTAATTGGTGATGGTGCCTGTGGTAAAACAAGTCTGTCAGTTGCTTTCAGCCAAAACGAATTTCCTGAAACCCATGTCCCCACAGTTTATGATACGTACATAAAAACAATAAATGTAGATGGGCAAAATGTGGAACTTGCAATTTGGGATACTGCCGGGGAAGAAGATTACGACAGACTCAGACCTTTGTCGTATGCAAAGGCAAGTGTTATAATCGTGTGTTTTACAATTGACAGTCCAGTTTCTTTGGATAACGTGAAGAAAAAATGGGGGCCCGAAGTTAAACATTATTGCAGGAAAGTTCCCATACTCCTAGTTGCTAATAAATTAGATTTGAGGAATAATAAAGAAACAATTGAAAATCTACAAAGATATAATATGCAACCCGTGAAGTATGTACAAGGGTTAAAAGTGTCGAAAAAAATTGGTGCGCGGGGGTATATCGAATGTTCAGCTAAACATATGATGGGTGTTCACGAAGTTTTCAGAAATGCTGCTAAAATTGCTTTAGAGAAACCAAAGGAAAAAAGACTCAAGCGGTGTGTGTCGATGTGTTCATTTTTCCGGTTAAAACTACGTGATTAGATATCAGTATTACTATTTTTGTATTTTGCTCTTGTAATAAAATTATGTATTATTTTTAGAGGTTTTTTAATTGTTCACCGATCAAAGTCCAGACGAAATTATGCAAGCCACACGTTTCGCAATATCATTTTTGGAAAATAAAATAAACAACATAGGGAAAATTACGGAAGTTATATTTTTAGGTTGAGAAAAATCCTGTATATATAGCTATAACATATATTTATCTATTATTATTATTATTATTATTATTAGTAATAACTTTGACAGAGATCTCTGAAAATAAAGAGAAAAATGTGCATGACCGAACTACAAAATTTCTTAAAATACAATCACAGATTTTGTCATTACAATTAAAAAAAATTTTGTACTAGACAATACAAATTTGAACTCCGACTTAAATGTTTTATGTACATTTGTACAAATTTACAATAACTAAAAACCAACCAATTATGTCAATTGGAAAACTAATGCAATTCAACATCAAATAAATAAAATTTGAACTTCTAATATTAATGAGATTAAAAGATATTTTGTATTTGGCATTTAAGTACGTTCAACTAAAAAAATAATAATGCAATTACCCCGAATCAGGTTTGTAATTTAGAGGAAACACTTGAGTGATCTCCCCAATACCTTTGGCAGCGCCTTCTCTAAAGAGCAGTCTTTGCCCTACAGTAACATACTCAGGATGAGACTTAAATTTAAATAATACTGAAGCTCTTTCGTTGGTATGAATACAATCGGAAGGGAAAATGCCAATCACAACAGCTGTCTGCCTTATATTTCCAATATGGACGGTAGTTTGGTATCCTTGATAAATCGCCGTTGCGTGGAACAAAACCGAAACGCTCGCTTGGAAAAACTCACAGCCTTTAGCATTCGAATCTGCTCGTAGCAAAACCAACCCGTTCCTCAAATTGGGAATATAACTATTCAAACACAACGCAGCACTCTGCCCGGCCCTGACCATCCGACAAGGAACTCTATTCCTATGAATCGACTTAATAACCACATTGAGAAAACTCCCATCTTTTTGAGGCCCGAGCTGCATTTGCATCCCTTCGGTTATAACCCCTTTAGTCAACAGGCCTCCTATAATCTGGCCAACATCCCCGGCTTTAAAATTCTCATCAATTTGAAACTCGGGGGATTCCTGCTCTAGACGTTCCTTTTCAGTGGCACTAATTCCAGGAGGAAGAACATGAAGAAATTTCAACAGCAGTTCCAAACCCTCGCCGCTGACGCTGGACACGCAAAATATAGGCACAACATTTTCGGTCAACTGGTTGGCACCAGCTGTTATGACGTCATCCAAATTTTTTATAATTAAAGGTACACGCCGACTACCGACCTGCTTTAAGAAAGATTCTAAAGACTGAAGAGTATTTGTTGGTGATACTAAGTCGATTTTAGTTATCACGATGAAAAATGGCACGTTTAAAGCTATTGCTATGGCTAGATGCTCGTGCGCCATTCCTACCGCCCCTGCAGTACTAGATATCTGAAAAACAATTCATATTTAATCAACGTCACGAAGACGCAAATGTTGCATAACTAAACTAAGCGGTGATATTTTTGATTTGTTCGAAATATTTATTTTGTTACGTCTCTATATCCGCTTCAAGACTTGGCGAAAGATTTACCTATGTTATTTCAAATTACGGAAGATTACGTAATGGTGCACAAATAAGATATTGCCATATATGCCTACATTCCTTACGAAATTGCCAGGTGTTGCTTTTTAAAAAACGATTTCTGAAATGCACGAACTCGTTAAACATAGCCCCAACTATGCAAGCTTCAAATTATTTGATTACATGCTGTAACGCGCAAAATCTACAAATTCATGCAACATTCTTTTCAGTCAAAAGCAAATACTAAAAGAGTAATCACATTTTTGACAATAATTGCTAGGTGATTATTAACATATAGAAAATTTATCAAAAACTAACAAAATAAATAACCGCAATGGTTAGGCCTACACCACCGAAGCCATTCCCATCAATTATCGTCTTATACTTGTGCAACAACGAAGTTAGGAATAAAAAAACGTCATAACGTTCATGTATCTGAAACAACTCATTAGGCTTGAGATGTACTTTGAAAATAATTTCAACACGCAAAGTAATCTGAGAAAGAGTGCTTTTTCTTTAGCTACAAGCCAATTACTGAAGCCTAGGGTAATTCAAATACTTTGTTGCAAGTTTACGTGTTTTAAACGTAATAAACAGATTGCGGTAAATGGCACTTCTTATCACGATGATCAGAATAACAATGGCTGACTGCAATTTTAAATGATTATTATAAAAAAAAAATACTTCTTAAACAATAAACATAAAGCTAAAATTTTATTAATTCAGCTTCTTCTTATAAAGATACTTACCACAAGCATAGCATGATGAGGTGAATATCCTGAAAGACCTTGGATAGTTGTTCTTAGATACTTCTTATGCCCTGCAAGATCCAGAAAAGTCACCAGTTTTGTAGAACTGTCACAAATTTCTTCAGCTGTGATCAATTCGCTGTAACTGTAGTTTATAGGTTGCCCCTACAAACCCCAATTAACACACCTTTAGTAACAGTTTAACTCACTTACTTGAGAATTGAATCCGAGAATTTCATGCGAAATTGAAGAAGTTCGTCCACTTTGAATCTCATGCAGATGTCGGAACATATTCAACCTTGCTCTCCCTCGGCCATTATCAAGATTCCCCTGCGTGAGAACCCCCAGCAAGGTTGATTTCCCGGCATCGGCATTTCCAAGCACCGCAACTCGGACTTCAATGTTGTTCTGGTCATCTGGTATTTTTCTTACAAGGACTTCGGCAATACTTCGTCCGTTGTCAAGTGTCCTTTGTCTTAAAATTGTTGTTGTTGCCTCCAATTTCAAAGCCATTTGTTGAAGAGTTTGCAAACTAGCCGTCATGTCTCTTTGGGACAATCCGGCCAAAATACCACTATCTTCAACTCCAATTTCGTAAATTGCCTCACCATTGCCTTCGCGAAGACGCCACTTCAACTACGGATAAGGTTGTTTAAAAAGAATTGCAGTTAATGATTTTGGCTTACTTGTGTTACAAGGTGTTCAAATCTTTGCTTGGTCGGATTAACAATTTTCAATTTGTACTCGATGTTGCCCACTTGTGGTTCCGGCGGGAGAGCTTTTTGGTTGTTTAAGTTGTCAATGGCACATTCGTCCGTGCTGCATTCGTTGCAGTTGGTTGGATCAAAAAAACCTAAGAATGAATCCATTGTTGTGCCTGAAAACAGAGAAAACCATCCTTTCGTGAATAAACTTTACACTCTTAGCAACAACTTTTTTGTTTATGGATGACGACATATTGTTGCCAATTATGAAATTGGGTGAAAGTGAACTATTAGTTTTACCATTACCATCTTACCTATGAAAGTGAAGTACAATCGTTTTACTTGATAAAAGAGTTTGTCGAAATATTTTATTATTTGGAAAGACCAAAAACTGATTTTATCATTTAATCGAAACAAGGGGAAGACCCTTTGAAGTTTACTAATATAATGTTTACAAAGTTACCTTTATTTACTGTTGAATCCTGGCCAATAAACTCAACACTAAGTTAAAAATACATATTTAAAAATTGAACTACCAAAACAAACACAAATTGAAGGAGATCATTCTTGGATACTTGACAACTGACATCAACCGGATAAAAAAGCAACGCAAGGAGGATAGCAGCGTCGGAATTAAGGAGGGGGAGAAGAAATCCACCAATCAGAATCGAGAATATAATGCTCGGTCTGGTACACGTTCAAATGTGATATAATCGATTCTATTTATCAAAAAAATTTCCACTTTAGACAAAATGACAACAAGGGATTAGGGATTAGCTCTGGTTTATGTTTTTTTCACAAATTTTAACCTCTATAAAGCTACCAAAATCCAAATTAGTTGCTGCACCGAACTGGCAGTTCGATAAAACAGCACCAGCTGTTGTTTATCAACAAAGGCAAAAGTAATGTCAATACCAATGACAAAAGAAATTTAAAAATTTCATTTCAAAATTAAAAAAATATTTAGTGATAAATTGAAAACGCATGAAGCAAAAAATAAGCTTTCATGTATAGAAGCGTTTTGATTAGTGGCGCCCTCATGCGAGGAACGCTACTACTCGAGGTGATATTTAGAGGTGTTTTGCACTCGTTGGAATGGTCTGCAACTATGGGTTTGGTGCTCTAAAGGTGAACCATGGTTGGTTACTGCCGTATTTTGTAATAGAATTAAAAAAAAAATTAATTGGAATCAACTGTGTCCTTAATTTTTTTTTTCAACAAACTTGGCACTAAATTGTAACTTTAATCAACGACATGACTTCAGGGATTTATAAGTGATAGCATTAAATGATAAAGATAAAGGCAAGCAAACATGTTTTTATTTGCGAATTCTTTAAAAAAGAAAGTTTTTAATCAAGGCTCATGAAAGTAATGAATCTAAGTTGTGTTAAACCTGATTGCTATTTATGGTCAAGATATAAAAGTGCAACAAATACAAGAAGTATACACAGATTCATAACCTGATTTTGAAAATCAGTTTATTATAAAATTACAACTTAAATTGAAATCTAATTTTTTCATGAAATGAAAATTAATTTCTAAAAGAAAACACCAAAAAATTAATGCGGGAGTGTTGTGGAAAGCGGTAAAATGAGTTGTGTGTATGGAAAACTCAAGTGAAGAAATCCATGAGAATAAAAAATGAGGACAATTCACTCAACAATGAGACAAATACAACCATCAACCAACAGTTTGTTTTTACACAAATGCAAAAGCAAATTAAAAATTAATTAGAAAATATAACTGTAACTTTTGGTTAAGTATTTCAGTAATTCCCCGACTTTTTAAAAATTGTACTTGAAAAGATAATTAGATAAACTTAGAAAAAGTATCAACAAATATTTATCAAACAGATATAAATATTACCGCTACATAAATTTATGACTTATGTGATAATTTTTAAAAAATAAGTAAAACAGTAATAAACAATTATTCTACTGGAATTTATTGCAACAATAAAATTTCATTTAAAAGATCCCATCATATATGAAACACAATTACCATTGCAAGAAAATTATCGATTGTTTTCTTTGTCACATGAAGTAAGAAAATGTATGGAATTTCAGTATGACATAACCCTTGTGCTTTATTAAACACAAATTATAGCGAAGTAATCGCAGCGAGCATAAAAAATGACAGTTACCGTAAAAAAGGAAACACGGAAATGTTATTTACTGAAATGCAAAAATTTGCTTCATAATAATGCTTCCTACTGTTAATCTTTGTTCAAATGCGGGATAATCCCAGATATTACGCGCATAGTAATTTTAATTTTTATGACCCTTCCTAGGAATAGGTTCGCTTTAAAATGACTAAAGCGACTATTTACATGACAATGGCCATACCCAAAATAAATAATAATGTATTACGTAGATAATTTCCGGCAAAACTAACAATACATTGTGATTTTGTACCAAATATTTTTTTAGAAAAAAATACTACACTGTAGCTCTATATAAATACAGCTTTACAAGTGTGTGAACAGAATGGTTGTAATCTTGAAGAAAAATCATAGCAGAATTCAAAATTATTACTTTTTTTTAAATGTTGCATAAACGGTTGCCGCTATTTTAATATTCATCAGATAATACAGTTTTGAAATTTTAATATAAACCAAAATGTGGAAATTACTTATGAAGAAACATTTATAATTGCTCATTACTCGAATAAATCTACAACAAAGATTATTACGTCACTGGCGTAACGTCTTACTTATTTTTAATGCAAGTAATTAAAAATATAATAAAGTAAAATTGTGACACAGTTCTGTTTGCAGTCAAGATTTCTTGATATTTTTTGATAAAAATAATTCTTGATTATCTTTACTACAAAGAAACTGAGGTTTATTCAAGCGTAACTCAGTATTTTTCGAGTACATTTTAATTTTTCTGTAAATTGTGCTACAATTTCTCTTAGTGATGATAATAAAACAAATGTCCAATAATAAGCAAGTGTAAGAAAGTACGTTAGTTAGTATTTAAAAAAGCAGTGTCAGTAATAATCGACAACTATAGAGCACATCAACCCCAAAGTGTGCCAACTATGGTATTCGAAATGTCCTATTAGAGAAAGTTTATTAATATTTATATATATATATATATGGGATGTCAACGATAATTCAAATAATTGGGGTACACTTTCGTTGATGACATATGGTGGTATAAAATTTCATCAACATTTTTTGCGATTTTTCAAGGCGTGTCATAGTTAAACATAATGATCATGTTTTTGCAGTTTTAGCACTTCCAAATAGCCTATTGTTCGCGAATAAATAAAGGAAGGAAAATGAGAAAACACGTTAAATTGCGTTACTGTGAACTGCGTTGATGTGTTCGATATACAGGTGAATCTAACGGTATCAGAACACCTAAAAAGAGTCAGCCCGGTGCAATCGTTTAACCCAATCACACCAATAGCTCTCGATGGTATGCAGTTTCTTATAATTCATCTGCGTATTACAGCTATTTTATGCCTGAAACCCATTGACACAATAATAGGAGTCATGAGATTAGAACTACTTTCACGAGCCTTTCTAAATTTTCAGAATTATCGATGTACCAAGTCTGCAAATCTCAACCAAATAAGCGATGTGTTGTGATCTGACTGTACATCGGTAGACCTTATTTTAAAATTTTTCTTACAGGTTTGGCTTGGGTAATTAATATGGCCCCTGCCCTCAGGTATGAATGTCGATGCAGACGAAGACCTGCGGACCCACACGAGGTCAGGTGTTTGAAGTGGGACTCTGTGAGAGGTGAAAACGTGAAAACAGTTGTTTACAATCTCCGCGCGAGTGTCCCGTATCACAATCATAAACAAGTCCAGAGAAATGTGGTCGCGAATCTCTAGGGTAAGAAACTCGATTATCCTATACTGTCATCCACCTAACAGCTCTTGTACTTACTCTCGGGTATCTCCACTTTTCTACGTATCTGTAATTTTATACCGTTAGAATATTCGTGGCCTGCTCTCCTGCTTCTTGTTGATCTACATTTCATTAAATTGCAACAAAACACCAACAATCCCAACTGGTTATATTTTTGCCAGTTGCTTCATACTTCATTTGATAATTTAGGCACTGCGTAGATGGCAGTAACGGGAACCGGTTACAAAATTCTATTTCAACCACACATTTTTCTATTTTGTCGTGTCAACTCATCAGTAATTTTTTAGATGTTTGCAAGTTAAAGAAAATGGAAACACCGACGAAATTCCTCCAAGATGAAAAAGAAAATTTCGTCACTGTAGTTTCAATAGGAGCTGATTCGACCCAAACTACAGCAAAATGTGACCCTTTCTCGACAATCGACACCAAAACCTCAGGATATGTCACTGTCTTAACCATCGGCGACAATGACGAAGAATGTGTTACTAAAGACATAATAGAAGAAGTCCTAGTCTATAGACTTCCCGGTGAACGACTAGGTTTTGGGTTGAAGTTCGAAGGCGGAACTAAAGCAAACGAATTCGTTAAACGTCTGTTCATCCAGTCATGTGCTCCCGACAGTCCTGCATCCCGGGTCCAAAGCTCTTGGGGCAAACTAACCGAAGGCGACGAAGTCCTAGAAATCGACTGTATGCCTGTCAACACCATGACAAGAATCGATTGTGTGCGGTGTCTAAAAGACTCAAACGTTGTTATAAAACTTTTAGTGAAACATTTTAGTGCGGAATGTAAACAATCAAACGACTTCAAAACTAGGTCAGTAGAAGATTTACCACAAGTTATAAGTGCCGAAAAAAAGAGAACACCACCACCACCCCCACCAGTACCGCCAAGAAAAATCCCGAAAAAGTTTTACAAGAATAGTCAAAACAATAACAATCAGGAGAATCCAGTTCCGGCAGCTCGTCAAATCAATTCAGAAGCAACAAATAAGAAAAAATTCCAATCGCCGAGAAGCAGCGGCCGGACTTCGCATTCTCCCGATATCTCTAGACGGGATAGACGTTTTTCGGATGGTAGCCTCGGACCACCTGATGCCGAAGTCTACGTTGATTTATTTTCGCAAGAATCGAGTCAAAGCCTCAGCGAATCTGATGACACAGGAAGTTCAATATCTACCGTTGTAGATCGATTTGGGTCATTCCCGACAACAACAACATCAAGTTTAGCAGGAAGTTTGCCATCAACACCTACGTCAGTTCAAAAACAAATCGATTTCACAAACTTATTAAACTCGTACGAAGAAGAAGACTTGATAGCACCGTTTAACAAGAGTATTAAAAGTGTAACAAGTAAAACTCCCGATTCAATTGAAAAAGAAAAAGTCGAGGAAAAATCAGGAAATATCAATGAAGACGGGCCACCGCTGCAACCGCCGTCATGCTTTCAAGATGCCCCCCTGAGTTACGGAAACGAGGACATGAGAATAATTGAGACGAAATCGAATGAAATTAATGTGTGTGAGTCGTCAGAAAAAAAATCTATGAATAGTAAACACGTGGAAAATAATAATTTAAATGGTGAGAAAACTTCGATAAAAAATTCTGCGATTGAGGACAAAGTATTTAAAAAACCACCTGTACCTCCGCGATCGCGAGATTTAATTAATGCTAATAAAACTAATGGATGTAAAGATGTACAAAATATTCATGATGAGAATATGAATTTATCGAACTTGCCGCGTTTAGTTGATTTCGTCCCTAAGTCGACAACGCGTGATCATTTTGAAAATCCAGTCGAGATTATTAACTTATTTTTGGAAAATGAAAGGAGAGACACTGATTATTTGAAAAATGAGTTTTATGGGGACGATGAAATTGATGGTAATTTTGATGACTATAACAATGAGATTGATGTTTATAGTTCAAAGTGGAGCTTATCGTCACAATTGGCCACTATAGGAGAAGTCGAAGAGGAAGGTTCGCAGGATTTTGGCATCAACAGGTATAAATAAAGCCACATTGTCTTGAAAATTTATTATATTCGTCTATTTCTCATCTAGATCGCCACCTAATTCAACACCTATCGTGATAGTTGAAAATGCCGATGATGATACGATTGAGGAAATAAACACATCAGAAATCAAAAAAAGTGATGAAGGTAAGTTAAATCTACATATGTAATTACAACGGATTTTTAAGAAAACTTCCGTATCTCGAGCTGCATACACAGGAAATCTTAACCACTCATTAAAATCAAATTTATGTTATGGTGTAAATTCGTGTTTATTTTTGCCTCGTTGACACGGGTCTCAACGGTTTCAAAAGTCATGCAAATGAATTCAGTGCAACATTTTACCTTCAGCACCCAATTACCGTAAAGCACAATGGTAATATTTTTCAAGTGTTCGAAAGTAAGGTGTTGTTCTCAAGGCTTAATTCTTGTCCATTTCTGGTTCAGATAAAAATTGCATTAACTCTCGTCTGGAAAAATTTTATTACCTCGTAATTTACACCCGGATTTGCGCAAATTGTCATTTTTCATTGTATAGTGTAAAAAATCAACTTTGAATGCTATGCAGTGAAGGTTCCCAACAAGTGAGTTAAAGAGGTTCAATTTATTTACATCAAGAAAGCCGCCGACAAAATTTTCTAGGATTTATTTATATGACATTCGCAAATACATGCAATAGTTACCATGAAACTGCAATTACCGAGAGTCAGTTATCATTGTTGAACAAATACTAGCAACCCCGAATTAAAATTCCACGGAACGTTTGTAATAATATATTGTATTACATAAACGAATTTGAGTAATGTAATGTTTAATGTATGGGATACGTGAACGATATTACAATAAGCGACCGTTGTCTAGGCGCACATTTACCGTAATGTCTTTGACTCCTTGCATATGTAATGGGAAGAGGAGAAAACCTGTCAAAACATTTCTACGTCACGATAGCATTGATGAATGCATTAATTATTCAGGAAAAGAAATAATCTCACTCGTTATCAATAAATAAATATTCTGTCACCTGCCTCTAATCTAAAGCTCGAAAATTCGTATATGTGTGAAAGTGGTGCAGTTTTCAGGTAATGTTTAACATTTATGATAGATTTTTCCCAAGTCCGGCCCCAATCCCATACGTAATTGTTGCGCTGTATTCATTTTTAACACTAAATGCGATTGAAATCTAACCCTGCCTCCTTCCGCTCACGTTAATTACTCGTCCAGCGGAAATTGCTTTCACTGAACACATTTTAAAAAATTGTTACTTTTAGTCAAAATTTGCCTTTGACATTTTATTAAAAAACTGTCTCTTGAAAGTGGTGTAGGTACATATTTGAACAGGTTCGTAATTTCCATGTCAAGGTTGTAAAATAAGAATGACTGTCCTTCATGTTGCAGTAGAGCAAAACTTAGTGCTTTGCAATATGTGCATATAAGGAGAGGTGTATAAAGTTGTTAACATTATGATTTATTTTTTAAATGAAACTTTTTAAAACTGTCGGTCGGCAACCAGTAATACTCCGCGGCTATACGGGAAGCCTCCGTCAAAGTGGCATTCACCCGACAAACATAAATAATTTACTATTTCCACGCTTAAATTTTTAGCATTTTTGCGATGCGTCAAAAAGTTAAAGGTTAAATTAAATCTTATCCACATTTTAATGAGATGTGTGCATCCTAATCAATTTAACTGGTATTAAATTTGTTATCGTTGTCTTTTGTGCTAAGTAATATAATGATATATGATAATATTTCAACGATTACAACAAATAAAGTAATCCATTTGTTTGTTTATTACTTGTTTATTTTTGTAGGGTATGAAGTAAGTAATGAGTTAATGACTGATCTATTTCATTTAAAAGATTTAATTCTATTAACACTGAAACACCTTTTGTCTTAGCAACATTATTTCTTAGCCGGATGCAAGAAAAAATCGAGTTTGTGGGTTACGTTTGGTGATTTCAGCAACCACAGTCATAATTGATGATCAGTTCCCGTAGAAAACCGATGCGAATTTGTCATTTACTCAAACAAAAACTTGTTAATTAAAATGAATTAACAAACTACCGTTTAAATGTATTACATTTATTAATTGTTGGTAATGATAATGCCCAAGAGTAAAAGCCAGGAAATTTAATTTTTTTAGAAAATTATCAATTTTAAGTAGGACTAGCCGTTAGGTTTTTTTAAAGAAAAATATGGCAAAGGATGCCATAATTAATTTATTTCTGCCTTATTTGATATGGAAAACCACTATGTGGTTTTTTTTTCAAAGAAGTGGTTTAATTAAAATGTAACATATGTTATATACGTTGCAATTTATTCTATTAAACTACTATAAATAATTGTTAGCAGTGAAGACTGAATAGCAGTTGGATCATTTATCTACAGAATTAATCATACGATGAATTCCGATTTAATTTTTAAACTTTATTCAGATTATTCCTAATTGACAATAAAACATGTCACCACTTAACGGGAGGCCGAGATCTAAATATAACATATTAAAATATCCTTGTTAACAAGATATATCATGCCTTTTTCTTGGCATTTGCTTCGATAATAGATACTTATAAAATTAATTAAATCATAATTTAGACAAACATGTCGCTCGCTTTATAAAAATATTCCTACGCTTTTGTAAATCAAATCAGGAAGTTTACGGCTTCAGTTTTTTTTTTCTATAAATTAATTTTCTTCCTGGTTTATAAATACGGCTTTATTATTTTTCCAACGACAAAAAGGAAAAACACATATTTATAAATCATAAACTTGTCATCAATCATCATTAATCATCAAGAAATCGTGACATCAATTAAACACTAAGATCCTATTTTATCCTACAATTGTTAAAAACTGTGATCAGTGATGATTTAGCATTACAAATGTTTATTTTAAAAAAATTATACAATATAGACAAGTATGTAATGTATAATTTTCTGCATTAAATTTTACTACCAACAGATGGTGGCTTTTTATTGTGGTTCGAACCAGAAATATTTCTAATTGATAATTACCTTATGCAAATGTATGGAGAGGTAAAATGGTAATAGATGCAACAAAATTAGTAATCATTTACACTTTAACTTTATAAACTAGCTGAAAAACAAATTAATCATATGTTAAACATTTTTGACTCAAATTTAATCTTGATTAAAAGATATACAAAATGATCTTATCAAGATATTAATACAATGGTGCGTTTAAAATACAAATAAATAATTTCTATAAGCAGTGAAAACAGTCAGATTCACTCGTAGATTGGTATTGTACATAAACTCATTTTATTTTATCAAGCTTTATTTAATTGCTTTTGTGAGTAAATTAATAAGTTTCCGAGTTTAATAAATTTAAATTAATTTTTTGTTGTGCAATAAAAATCAAAAATTTAAGATTTTTATTTATTTGATATGCATCTTATAATACAGGAAATAATTTATTACTTTCTTTCAATAGTTATGTGCCATCCACTATATAGTAAATATATATTTTTTAGTAAAATTTTAGTCATAAACTTTATTACAGATAGGTGCAGAGGCGTTAATCCATAAATGACTTCCAGTTCTATTTAAAAAAATCTTATCTTTTTTGTTAGCTTTGACAAGAATTTCCGATTCAATCAAACCATACGGAGTAAACATTTTTTCAAGATAATATTTTTGTATAAAATTTAAATCAGCAGTAACCGGTTTGTTCAGAAGTTGCAAGGCGAAAATATGAAAATCGTTCCAGCTCCAAAACTGGCTTTAGTGATTTCGTCAACAAAATTTGAATACAGATAAAGATATTTTCAATTAAAATAGCTTCTGCACTGCATTTTTCGATAAATGATACACATTGTGCCTATTTTTTGTGAGATTAGTAAGCCTGACAATCTTGTCGTCAGAGATAAAACAACTTTTTTGTTTTAAGTGATTATCTTCTGTTACATTGAATTGGTGAGGTTTGATTGTTGACTTTTCTAATAATCAATATAGTGACTAATGTTTACCTTGAGTTAGCAATAAAACCACTTTAGGAAACATGACAATAAATAAAAAATTGTGTGAAAAGTGGTATGCTCCTCAGTAGAAAAATATTAATGTGGTTGTCCATGTGTGGGTTTGCTGGAAATGTCAATGCCATCGAAACAAAATTGATATGAAATCCACACATGCTTATTTTCCGTGCTATATCTTTTTATTGTTTCACGTTTTCGAAGAACGCAAAGGCGATTTCACACTGCTGCTTGGCCAAGATGTTATCGTCAATCCGCCGAACAATGTTTAAAAAATTGCTACATCAAATATATGCTCCGTTTCTCTCTTTCTAACCATTTAGTATTGTCTTCTCATTGGAGTTCATCACCGGTTGATGAAATTTTTCAAATGCCACTACTCACCGCGTGTACAATAAAGGAACACACCAATTTAGCAGATTTTCGGCTTCAATTAAATGAAGTAAAATATTTATTAATCTTGACTAATAAGAATAACCTAAGGTCTCTCGGCGAGTTAATTTCTTGAATAGAACATAATGAGAATCTTTTAATTAATTGGTGTTTTTTTTTGGCAAGGCTCGTAAACTGAAGTGAAATGAGTTCGTAGTGTTAAATTGCTTGACTAAAGACGAAACATTTGGGGGGACGAGGCATAAGCAAGTATTTTAGTTGACCGGTTTCCGACATGTTTTGCCTTATAACAGTATTTCCAGCAATTTATCGCCAATACTAATCCGTTGGACCTATATGCATTTTTATGTGTACGCATCAAGTTTTTCAAGTAGAGGATTGGAATTTATTCCGTACACGTTGTTTTTTCAACAAGGGTAGCTGATGCTTAACAGTGGGAATTGAATGCTTTTTTTCACTATGTGCCGCACTCGCAGCAAAATATTTACATAGAAGTAAGATTGCAGTTACAATGTGATCGACAACCCGCAATCCATACCATAGCCAGCCAGCTGCCCTTGACTTCACGTCCACTGACCTGATGGTTTGCCAATTCCCTCCTCCCGCTCTTGGTTAACTCTTGGTGATGCCACTTATAATCGACTATTTAACATGATTTTTAGATTATTATCGATTATTAAATCGATTTTATTTAGCTCTGCTGAGTTTATTACTGCATCATTCTCAAGTAATTAAAACATTAATATTTTTTATCCGTTAGTCTATCTACAAGGTTACATGTCGATTTATTGAAACGCGTCACTGATAAAATAATTTTTAATACCGGTAATAAATAAGATGCAAACAATCCTTTTTTATTATCGGAAAGGATTCTGGCCAGAGTAGGTAATTCGCAGATCTACGCTCAGCGCGACTTTAGTTTGCCATTTCGTTAGTATCGGTTTGTATGGTGAGCAATCTACACGCCCAACGCGATTGCTACAGAAACATTTTTATATTATAATAAACTCTTAGTTTCAAAACACGTAGTGCCTTTTCTTGGATTAATTGATTGTTGGTAAGCATTCCTCCCCCTTTTTTCCTCATCTTTAATTCATCTTTTCACAATTATTTCAATCTCATTACAACCACATTCAATTATTTTAATCTTACTAACGCAAAATCAAAATTTATAAAAACCAGACAAAAACTATACAAAACACATATTTTTAGCAAATTGCTGCAAGAAGAATGAATTTCTTTGTTTGCATCCACGCTCGAGAACAGTCGACATTTTCAAAATCTTTTTTGCGGAATAAAATCACTTTCTGCATACCAGTATGGCACCTACATGTTATTTTTGTGACATAATAAGTCTAGTAAAATATTCACTTTCCCCAACCATACAAGTTTTTGTGGGTAGTAACCAAGTTTGAAATGTAATTGTCAAATTCCTTATCTATAACTAGATCAGAAAATCTCTGATTTGTAATTGGGTTTAATATTAGTTATTGAATGCGTTATGGAATGAAACGAGATACTTGTGGTGGTGAAAAAATTTCATGGTCGCAGACAGTGTGCGGGGGTTTTTACCATGGAACTGTAACGATGGTATTACCATAAATTGTTAGCAAAAATTATTTTTAATGAGCCAACTTCCCCAATTTCGCGTCGATTGCATCTGAATCATTTTTTATCGTGCTTTGTCAGTTCTACGTGTCGATAAATCAGCTTTTAAAAATACATCCTACTTATTTAAGTTAGTCATGTGGGATGTAAACTAAGAATTGTGCAACAAATTGTGCTCTTGATTGTAATGCAAAACATGTCGATTTGAAATATTTATTTTTAGGTATCAATGGCAAAATGGAAACTCTTCCAAGTGATTCACGTCAGCCACCTGATGGACATGAGTTTCCAGACTACGTCGAAGTCACTAGTGAACAAACCGATGACAAGTTCATTCGCGAAAATTACAAAGATCTATACAGCCAAGAGTTAAACGAAAAAGGTGCTCAGTCAACACTAGTGACTTGTAAGTCAACAGAAAGTGTAAATTGGAGTCAAAACAGAAGTTCCTTTAATGATTTTTCCAACGTGACCATACAGAATAAGTCTTCTCTTTCAAAGATAAACAGTGTCTCAAATAGTGATCTTAGTTCTATTAAATCGAATTCCTTCGATAGTGGTGATGAAGTGAGTTTAAGAAAGTCTAGTTTAGAACCAACACTCCATACGAGATCGCAAAGCTTAATTGATATGTCAAGCATATCAAAACAAAAGAACGATCGCTGGAGTCTTCTGGCCGAACAAAGGAGAAAAGGTTATTCTAAATTGAAAGGACTTGTGATACCTGAACACGTATCTGAAAATGAAGCAACTCCTGCGGTTAACATCCCGGAAATAATAAGTCACACTACTCCATCATTCGTCCTAGATACAAAGGTTCAAACCAGTGAAACAACCCAATGCCATTCGAATGAAATTGAACCAATTGCATTACCACTAACTTCGCCTCCTTGGACTTCCAACACTTCAACATTCCCCAAGTATTCACCAGCTTTCAAAAGAAAAAGTCTCCAAGTCTATTCACAAACAAAAACTCAGAAGTCTGAAGAAGCTGAAACTGCCATAAAATCGCCAGTCAAAACTGTGCCTGATTGTAAAAGTGCCACATTAAGAAATAAAAGTGATGATCTTAGACTTGACAACTTGTCAGATTCTCCTAAATCGTTAGAAAGCATTACCTCGCCAACAAGATCGGATTGCAGCTTCGATTACGTCACAAATTCTTTAAACAAAGTCAAATGTAACAATAAACAAGAACCTAATAGAACATACAAAGAAACTTTCAACTATGTTACTAAATTACATAAGGATATTGGAAAATCCGAAGATGAAAGTGACAATGATTCAGCAGTGAGTTCAAGTCAGTCCAGTTACATTTCCCGATGCTCGCCGCCACCCTCACCAACACGATCCTGTGAAATGCTAGACTACGAAACAACCATTCGAACAAAACCTGAAACAATTCAAGACATCGATAAATACAATAATTTACAGTGTCGTCTTTTAAAAGCCGCTAGTGTTGAAGCTATCAATCGGAAAAACATCCTCGCATCGGCAAAATGCCGTAGTGGCAGAGACCTCAAAGTTGGTTCACCAGTGATTCAAAGAAAATACGAAGATGAGGATTCTTCCGCAAACGCAAATACAGTTGAACCTGAGACTCCCGTAAATCCAGTAAATCAACTAGTAATCTGTAAACAAGACCAATCGGTTGAGACTCGTAATATGATAAAGGAAAAACGAAGCATAAGTTGTGAGGAATCTGCTCCCATTTCAAAACCTCTACTAAACGGAGATAGCAGAATAAAAAGTGGTATGTACTAGAGATGCCTCTTTTTCTTTTTTCAGTAGAAATATTTCAGAAATAGCTCCATCATCCAATAGAGTTCCAGAAAAAAATAATTTAATCACCTTAAGACCGGTAGCCGGCTCTTTGAAAAACTTTACGACGCAGTTACGCGAAACTAAAATCCCCACAAAAAATAATATAACAAAGTCGAGCAGTTTGCTCAAAAACAACAACAAATCGATGAGTGTCACCGATCTGAGGAAAAGTTTTGAAAAATTCGGTAACGCACCACCACCTCTTCCTCAAAGTATTCCCATTGCTCTTAAGAAAGAAATAAAAATCCGACCTACTAAGTCTGAAACTAAATTAAAACCTGAAACATTCCTTGAGAAAAAACCTAGAAGTAATGGCGACGTCGTTAAGTTGGAAACACTGAAGGTTTGTATAATAGTTATCGCTTAACTGTTAAATATATTAACCCTACACACCCAGCTTTAGGAATTTCGAATCCGCTTCTTAAATAAACTGTGTGTTTTAATTTAATTTGAGAGTCGTATTTGTGTTTTCAGCCTGCAACAAAATCGATCGTAAAAGATGTACCGGAACAAAAACAAAAAGAAATTTCTGTTGACGGTAATAGGAGAAAAGTCGTTCTTTGTCCAGAATTCGTGGGAGGGAGTATTGGCATAACTCTAGCAGGAGGAACTGATTACGAAACAAAAGAAATAACCGTAATTTTGTTCATTTACTTATTTTCGGGATTTTTCATCTCGTTTTTTAGGTGCACAAAATCCGTTACGGTAGTGTAGCATATAACGACGGTCAGTTGAAAAAAGGCGATAAAATTGTATCCATTAACGGAAAAGATACGACCAATCTCACACACGCGGAATCTGTTGAACTGCTAAAAGTAAATTGAGTTTCTCATTTGGTTACGAGGAAATAAACCGTGATATAATTTCAGGAACAGGTATCTAAATTTATTCTAATTGTGGAAGATGGTAAAGAAGAAACGTTATCTTCACCACAGAGAAAATCCTTTATTTATGAATCGTCCGACCCTAAATGTAAGGCTCTTAAAAGTAAAGATGTTTTAGTGAATGTGTAAAATTTCAGCTCTTGGTCCTGCTTCTCCGATAAAAAATGTTACACATGTGATTACATTTGCGAAAAATGGTGCCGGTTTAGGATTCAGTATAGAAGGAGGCAAGGATTCGCCAATGGGAGATTTGCCCTTACGAATCAAAAAAATATTCCAAGGTTTGTTGCAGCAATCTTTTCGGTGCAATATTTTTATTTTTATGGATTAGGTGGACTTGCGGAGAAAAATGGAGAATTGTGTGTTGGCGACGAACTGTTGGCTATTAACGATATTAGCCTAACAAATTTGTCAAGAATTGAAACATGGTCCTTAATGAAGAAGCTACCTGATGGAAATGTCAGTATTCATATTCATCGATAATTTTTTTGACTATTTATATTTTATTAAGAATTGTCTTGCCAGACTGTTTGTAATGTTTTTGTACGTACTTATGTCGTTGTTAAATTATTTCCTTGTGTCAGTCATGATTATGTGCCCACAGTTAAATCATTTATATATTTTATTACATAGCTTATTTTGTATAATAACATTACCCAAAATATCTAGTACATTGTATAGATTGATTGTTCATTAATATATTTTTATATGAATAAATTATTGATTTAAATATTATATTCAATGTTTAATTTGCTACTCTTCCTTCTTAAATAGCCAAAATAATTACCCTTATAACCTTGTTTCAGAAATGCAAAATCTAAAAAAAAACTTTTCACTTTCAAATCAATAATCATTTTCAAAATATGTAATTTTTTTGATTTCGTAAAAGAAGTTGCCACAATGACTAGTAATCAGTATTACCTATAACTACGTAAAATATCTTTTCGTAATTTTGAATGATTGTCGTTGGTCGCCAATGTAGATAAAAATAACAAATTACCCAAATTAGTAAATTTCTAGGAAATCGACTATCAAATAATCAATTCTCCTTTTTGTAGATATTAATAACTTGAATTAAATATTAAAAGATAAACAATGTAATGATTTGTAAATTTACTTAACGATAAAACGAAATGTTTAATTTTACACTCTTCCTTTGGGATGAACAGCGGGAGTAGACAGAGTGAGACTTATTCAAGTAATATGGGTTTTAAGAACATTGATGCGCTTGCTCCCTTGCCTATTGTGACTTCACAAATCATGTACTTCTAATTTTGATATCTGGTAGAATCAAAAGTACAGTTAAATGGTTTTTATGTACGAGTCATAGATTTATGGCTTATTAGCGAGTTTAAAAAAGAAAACCAGAAAAAAAGTTTTGAGGAAACGAGAAAACGATGCTATAAAGGAACTGTATTTCTTGTGTTTGTTGGAAACTTTCTTAATAATTCTCATATTTGTATGTGTATGTGTATTTATTGTAACGAATAACTTTAACGGGATATTATAGTATTTTTGTATTAACATCAGTACGCAAATTCCTATCTTAAAATTGCATTTCATGTTTTTTTTAATCTTTTATTTCCTTTTGTGAAATAACGTAGTGTGATAGAAAAAAATATAAATCATTTTCATATTGGAAACCAAAAACTGCATAAAACTGGTTAATAAATGTAAAACAATAAAAAAAGTTTTTTACATGCCTGTGTAATTAAATGACACTATAATTACCTATCCCTAAAAAAGACAACCAGCAATCTCAATAATTTCGGAAATACATATTTTCTTCAATAAGAAAATATTTTTTATTATAATTTGTTATTAAAAAAGATACCATCTACTTATTATAACGTGATCATTTTATGGGCGAGCGAATTAAAAAAATAGTATAACAAGTTTTATAAGGGTTGATTTGAGTTTTCTATGGGATGAGTGCGCCAATACCATTATAAAACGAGTATTTTATGCTATTTTTTCTAATTTGCGTCCCCTTTTTTTTTGCTTTAATTAAAAATATATATATATATATATTTTTGTCGTCTAGAGAATTTTGTGTTAGTTGGTATCGGTTGGTAAATACTCGGCGCCCATCTGATTTTTTTAATCATTTCTGCCGTATGTCACTAAAAATTAAATTTACAAATTATTAGTTATTAGTGTTACAACATAATAATAATAAATAAAATATGAGCCAACAGAATTTAGTTTGCACTCCGCCCGAAATTCGCGAAATTGCCGAAGCAACAACGCAAAATTTGTTACCTGACAAGTTAGAAGCGGCATACAAAAACTAAATAACCTTAGATTCATTAAAGTACAGTATGCTTTTATAGATAGCCATAAACGACTCCTACTGAGAGACGTTAATAAACGTATTATAAACGCAAATTAAAAAAAAGGATATTAAAAGATTTAAACAAAAAATAAATTTTTGGATTATATTTCTCTTTCGAGTTCAGATTCTGATCGTCTACCTGTGAACACTGGCGTACCATGAGTTGCCTACTTTAATATTGATTGGTTATAACTTATGAGATAACATCATGAAAGTGACATTAGAGGAATTGAATCAATATTGATCCGTTAGGAGTACGCATATTATTATATTAAAAATATTAATATTAGTTAATGTATGTCAATTTATATAATTTCCTTTTATAATTGTAAATAAAAAAATATTGGTTACCTGCGATATAGTTGTTTGATAGGTGACAGTTTTCTGATTTTTTTAAAGTCCTATTGGTTCCAGTCTTATACGAAAGAGGACGCGTTATAGGATAATTTCATGATTCATATTTTCTTACTTTCTCTCGTCAATCGCTATTGCGACGATCCTTGTCTTGCAGTGCGCTTTGTGGCGCGTAAATGTATGCGCAGGAGAACTTAAAGGCATTGTTGGGTGGAGGTGAAAATACACTACCCGTTCGGATTCGTTCGTATTTTCCCATGTTGCCTATGTAGCGCAGTAGCGTGTATAGGTTGCGTTGAATTTAAAAATAAACGGAGTAAGATAAAACGCATAGTGTTTGATTGATGGTTTTTGTAAGATGATGTTATACTATGAATGGCATCGAATTATTTATTAGTGAAAGGTCTGAGTATTTTTGACGGAGTGGCAACATTGTACAACGCAATCGCCAAACAAATATTAGTAAAGTTGTATGTAACCAACTCCAGTAAGCATGGTGGATAAAGTGTATACGACGTTGTTTAGTGGATTTGTTGTGCAATAATATCGTCTTTGGTTTTTAATTGTTCGGATAGTGGAGTTTGAATTGGTTTCGGGTGGCGCTGTCAGTGCTCTGTGCATTATGTTTCGGTAAATAATGGACCTGAAGATGGTGCGATTTTTCAAGGTAAAAAAATATTTCTAGTTACTTTAATATAACCGCAATTTAAAGTGGACCGTCGGCGGTCGTGGGTTCACCTCCTCACAACCACCTCCAATCATTTGTTTGCGTAAATAATACGAACACCCGTTGCCGCAATGTTTGTTTTCGCCAAATTTCCGAGCGTTCTCGTGTGACTCGAGCTTTAATATTCCTCCCAAGCCGCAGCGTATTTTTCTCCGAATGAACAAACGCAGATGTCAATAAACCTAAATCGAAATTACGTCGGATTTTATTCGCAAAATGTTTCGTTATTTCCGTCATGTGGGTTGCAACATAATTTGGGCGAGCTTTTTGGAATTTGGCATCATTTTTTGGGCATGTGTGTTTCGCGCGATCATTCCGCAGAGCTTTTTGCAGCAATGATTCATCACTAGATGGATGATGATGTTTCGGTGGTTCGGTTCATGGCATGTTTATTTTGACTGTGGACATTTTTCTCCGGAAATGATGTTTCTCATGTTTTCTTGGGTGGCGTCTGCGATGTTGTTGCGGGGTATTGATTCGGATCGCCGTCATAACATTCGCCTCCCCACTATGGAGTAACGTATAGTACGGTTTGGGGCGTGGCGAAACCACGTGCTTCATTGCACTCATTTAGATGGATTTCAGATTATATATTCCCATACTGGCTCGATTCATCATTCTTTTTGTCCCTTCGTACGTAACGACCTTCAGAGCCACTCACAAACACCTATACAATCAGTTATTTCAACGGAGAATGCTGCGTGCTACGAATTCACTACAACCAACATAATCTCTCAATGATCTCTTATCACCGACTGTAAACAAAATTTTTATTTGCTATTCACAGCATGCCGCAATTCGATATTTATTGATATTTTATTTCCTATGACACTACTAGCCCACCGATCACCTCAGTTCAGATCTGATCTCTGTCCCCTACATACAAATAAATTATTTCGCGTATACATAATTATAAACTCCTCCTTACCATCAGAAGCTACAACGGAAACAATTAACACTTGTTTCATTTCATTTTATGCGGTGATTTTAATGAATGAATTTTTTTACATTGTGCTACAGGAAGTGTTTGTATGAATTAACTTATTCACGTTACATTAAGACACTTTTTTTGAGAGCAAACATTGCTATAATCATGTTTAGATAAATTTACATAAATAACTTTTATGCTTATTTCTTAAATTTAATATATGGCAACTCAACTTGGATCAAAATTAAATTAAACAAAATGAAACATTGCATTAATAAACAAAAATGAAAATACATTAGACTTTCGACTATCCGAAACAGTCGGAACCACAACTGTTCGGATAATCGAATTTCGGTTAAATCGGAACTAGGAATAAAATAGTAAAAATCGTTTCTAAATGCAAAAAAATGGTTTCAAATCAGTATACAAGTACTGTGTGATAAATGCGGAGGTATGGATAATCGAGAAATTTGTTACATATATATATGTATATATATATATAACGTTAAACATACAACAAAATAAAAATATTGTCAAAAATACACATCTTTTGCCTTTGGCCTTCTTCCCTGAGAGCACATTCATGTTGAAAGTAACAACAAAATTCAAGACAAGTTATTACTACGCCATAAATAACATGTAAATCATTAAAAAAGATAATATTAAAGTTATAACTTCAAGGAATATGTTGATAGGTAACTAATAAACATTAACATTACGATAATGATAATCTCTCAACATCTGTCTATTGTAATTGTTTTGTAAAGAAAGGCATAAATCTATTTTGTTTTTCATTCTGGCAAAAATTTTGGTTAACTTCATTTACAATTCTTATTTTCATTTTACTGTTTTTTAAAGTATAGGAAATAGCAATTAGGGTTAATCGCTGAATAGTAAAAGTTGACTGTATAATTATACTATCTTCGCTGAAGGAGCTGTAAATGGTGTACTAAAACTTGCTTGTACATATAAATAATGTTGCTTTGTAAGGTTGAAATGTAAGTAAATTTTATTAGTGCACAATTTAAAAATTTAAAACGAACGTTGACACTTCCAAAATTGTATTATCAACAACCATAAAATCGAAAATAAAAGGTACACTAACCACTAAACTACCTAATAATATTTATCTTTAAAATTCATTCGCATTTTTACAGCTCGTGATCAAGTTTAAAGTAGTAGTCGTCCCATATTTAAAATACGAAAACAATTTTTTGCTTTTATTGGTAACAAGTTTAGTCACATCATATCTACGAATATATTTCCGGTTTAGTGGCAAATGATGACATTTTTTTGGTAAATTTTGGTGTGTATATATTTTTCTATGAAATTCCGTTCAGGTTTTTAGAAATTGTAAACATTCTTCTTTGTTTTTATAATTTTATTCAAAAACAAAAATTCTATTAAAGCCCGCTGAAGCAATTATTAAATTTGTGATCTTAAATAATATTACTCAGTGATAATCGTTTAATGAAATATTCTGAAACTTGGCTCGCCAATAACATTGATCTTGCCAGAAAATGCCAAGTGTGTATAAACAGACGTTCGATTTGTCTGAAAACAAGACTCATCTCGATGAATGTTTTTATTAAAATCATTGGGAGTAGATGAGTATATTTAGGGTTTGTATTTTTTGTTTATTGCTAAAAATTGGCTTTCCAATTAAGAAATATTGCGGAATTTGTAATATTTTAAATAGCACAAATTCACGACAAACCCACAAAAATTTGTAGTCACATAACTGACCTAGCATTATCATGGTGATATTGGTGAAATGAATTGTATATTTTGGCATTCTTGCTTCATAGAGCAAATCGATCATTTTGTTTTTATTGGTTTGATGCTTTGATTTAATTCCTCCAACATTCTTTGCTAGTTTTTCAATTGCAAATGTAAAGCAATTAATGTGGATTGATATTTGAATCATTCATTAATGGAATGTTTAATATATTAAGAAATACCAATCAAGTAATTTTAACTACAAAACATAAAATAGAATGTGTCTGAAAGAGCAATCATGAAAGTTGGTGTTTGTTAATGAAACCAAGATTTTCCTTCCCTTAATTTACATGATAAAGGAGAAAATTAATAGTCCATTTTCATTGTACCGAAGTCACCCAAAAAGGTTAACGGTCTTTAATTTATTCCCCAGTAGTTATTTCTAAACAATAAACATATTGAGTGTATTAATAATTATTCTATAACGTGTCAATTAATACTAATATATTTATTCTCTCGTCGATTGGTTCCGGATTATCGTGACACAGTAAACATCTTGTAAAATACTGCGTAGCAATTGCAGTGGAAAAATGCGTAGGAGGTAATTCCTCCTATTGTTCGTTTGTAATGAATAAAACGAATATACATATTGTTGAATTTTTTAATATTCAGACAAAATGGTATTACAATCAGCTAAAGATAAGTTTTCAGATATGTAATTATTTCGTTTTATTGAACTCGAATCAATAATAATGTGTGGTATTACGCTTATTAAATTTTTTTTAAATTAATTTTTGTATTGCTATTTTTGTTTCGTTTAATCTTAAATCATTCTTCTACCACAATAATAAACAAAGGAATCAAATGACAGGTATTATAGTTCATGTGTATTATTTACATTCGCACTTTTAACACCTTGACCTAATAATTCTAATGAATATTATTAGAGAGTGGGTGGGACAACAGTAGCCAGTGATATTGATAAATAAGAGCACTCTAGAAACTCTGCGATGTTTTGTTTGATTTTAAATTGTTTTTAGTTTACCTATTATAGAAAGTATGTTTTTTCTTGAATCAAGAGTGAACCCGTCTTGAGATTAAAAGCCGCAGACCAGATGTTGTAAACAGTTTTACAAGCTGCATTTACAACAATTACGATCTAAGTAAATGTTAGAGAATTTTTAGTGCGTGTTAACTGAGATTGAGCTTTTTGCAGCTACAAGGTATTCCACATATCAAGCGCTAACCTATTTTCATCGAAAAACGTTTGTATATTTACATTTTAACTTAAAACACTCAAATCGAGTACCTTGACCTAATAAAATTTATTCGCTGTGATAAAGTGGGTGAGATTGTGATAACCGAATTATCAAATTGTTTTGCGAAGTTATTTGTTATAAAAATGATACAAGGCTAGCGAATCTCAATTGAGAATTTTTTAAAGAAAAGTACCGATCAATCGAAAGTTAGAGTGGTGCATTTTAAAGGTGGTGAAAGCGTAAAAATCAGAGAATTGTTGCCATTCTTTCTGACTTGGGTAGACCAAAAAACCTGTAATAAACCTTTAAATAACTTTCTGAAAAGCAATGGAATGAGAAGTAGTTCAATAAAATCGATGTCTGTGAGAACTGTAAATGGCCTAGCCATCACCAAAAGTGTGGAAACTCGAAGGTGATAAAATCTAGAATTATTTAATGTCGATCTTACTCATTTACCAACACTCATGAATCTATAATGTATTTTCTTACCCTACAACACAGATGCAATACACTATGTTGCAAAAACTTTGAGACAAGTTCCTTGCGTAATGGAATATGATAAACAGATTTGTTGGTAATATTTCAAGAGGAAATTTTAACAAATATTGAGCGTGAGTCGTCGATTTTTAAACGACAAACTTTGTTAGTCTATGTTGAGAAAATATGATTTTTCTGTTTATTTTGCTATCGATAGATTGCCACGTGCTAAAACAATGTAGGTCATTTGAACAAATTGAACTTTTGACACACGGTAATGTTTTTAAATGACGATATAGTTTGTTCTTCAATACTATAAGTCTTTACTAACGTCTGTTTGCCTATTTTTTTAGAAGTGTATATTTCCGAAATAATATTATGGATATGTGACTTTGGACCGTCATAACACGTATTAAATTTTTGATTGATGCAACAGCAAATAATTGCAATTATTCGCCGTTCTGACGTAAGTGTCTATACAATATGCATGGGTTAATAGATAGGCCACTCTATTGCTCTGACATGTTGTAATAAAAAAAATCGAATTTAACCGAAGT